CACCTCATACAAGTACCATAGTGCAATCTCTATCACAAAAGCGCAACTTACAAATGTAGATTTTTTTTTGTTACATAACTGTACTCAAAAACAAAACAGTGTAAAACTTTAGAACCTACAAATCCACTTAGTCCTACTTCTTGTTCAGCCAATCGCTAAGATAAACAAGTTTGTTTACATTTACAGGAGATAATGCTGCCTGCTTCTTATTTACGTCACCTGAAAATGAGAACAGAAGTTCACATGGCAATTTTGCAGTTGGCATTGCAAGGTATTTACATGCCAGATCTGCTAAACATTCATATGCCCCTTCATGCTTCAGCCACCATTCCAGAGGACATGCTTCCATGCTGATGATGCTCGTTACAAAAATAATGTGTTCATTAAATTTGTGACTGAACTCCTTGGGGCAGATTTGTATGTCTCCTGCTCTGTGTTTTACCCACATTCTGCCATATATTTCATGTTATAGCAGTCTCGGATGATGACCCAGCATGTTGTTCGTTTTAAGAACGCTTTCACTGCAGATTTGACAAAACACAAAGAAGGTACCAATGTGAGATTTGTAAAGATAGCTACAGCACTCGACCCAAGATTTAAGAATCTGAAGTGGCTTCCAAACTCTGATCAGGATGGGGTGTGGAACATGCTTTCAGAAGTCTTAAAAGAGCAACACTCCGATGCGGAAACTACAGAACCTGAACCACCAAAAAAGAAAATCAATCTTTGCTGGTGGCATCTGACTCAGATGATGAAAATGAATATGCGTTGGTCTGCACTGCTTTGGATTGTTATCAAGCAAAACCCATCATCAGCATAGACGCATGTCCTCTGGAATGGTGGTTGAACAGACATTTTAGCACATCTGGCATGTAAATATCTTGCAACGCCAGCTACAACAGTGCCATGAGAACACCTGTTCTCACTTTTAGGTGACATTGTAAACAAGAAGTGGGCAGCATTATCTCCTCCAAATGAAACAAACTTGATTGGCTGAACAAGAAATAGGACTGAGTGGACTTGTAGGCTCTAAAGTTTTACATTGTTTTATTTTTGAATGCAGTTGTTTTTGTACATAATTCTACATTTGTAAGTTCAACTTTCATGATAAAGAGATTGCACTACAGCACTTGTATTAAGTGAATTGAAAAATACTATTTCTTTTATTTTTACAGCGCAAATATTTATAATAAAAATAAATATAAAGTGAGCATTGTTCACTTTGTATTCTGTGTTGTAACTGAAATCAATATATTTGAAAATGTGGAAAAGATCCACAAATATTTATATACATAGTATTCTATTATTAACAGCGCAATTAATCGTGATTAATATGTTTAATCGTGCGATTAATCGCGATTTTTTATTCGCTTGACCACCCTACTTTATACACAGTATTAAACTTTTGGTTATGATTTTTGGGGATACTTACATGCCCCCCAATCACTATAGTATCTGAGTGCCTAGTTAAGTTGTCTTCAATGTATGGGGAACTGAGGATCAGAGAAATTTAATGACTTAGAGGGGTAGTAACTATGGTGTTCATGGAAGGAATTTTTATTTGCTTTGCTTTGTCACTTTTATTAGGGTGTTAATTCAAATTGTTGGATTTGGAATTTTTAAAATTGTAGTTTTTAATATTTTCCAAGGGCATTTAGATTATAACAGAGTATAAGGGCACTAAGGGAGTATTATGATCACCTAGTCTGACCTCATTAAAGACTCAGACTATAGTATTTCATGTTGTCATCCTGCATCTAACCCAATAAATTGAAGTCAACTGGTGTATCATTTTAAAAATTATCCAGTTTTGACTTAAAGATTACCTGTGATGGAGAGTTCACCACACCCCTCATCTGTTTCAACGGTTAATTACTTTCACTGCTAAAAATCTGTATCTCATTTCTAGCTTGAACTTTCCTGACTTCAACTTACAGCCGCTGGATCTTGCTATACTTTTTTCTGCTATATTAAAGAGCCCTCTAGTAGCAAATATCTCCTCCCTACCTAGGTACTTATAGACCATGATTAAATCATTGGTTAACCTTTTCTTTGATAAACTAAATATCTTGCACTTCTTTAGGGATCAACTTAGTATAAACCAGGGGTAGGCAACCTGTGGCACGCGTGCCAAAGGCGGCACACGAGCTGATTTTCAGTGGCATTCACACTGCCCAGGTCCTGGCCACCGGTCTGGAGGGCTCTGCATTTTACTTTAATTTTAAATGAAGCTTCTTAAACATTTTAAAAACCTTATTTACTTTACATACAACAATAGTTTAGTTATATATTACAGATTTATAGAAAGAGACCTTCTAAAAACGTTCAAATGTATTACTGGCACGCGAAACCTTAAATTAGAGTGAATAAATGAAGACTCGGCAGACCACTTCTGAAAGGTTGCCGACCCCCGGTATAAACCACAAACATTTGTGAACTGTCCAGACTAGTCTTTATAAAGGCATTAACTATGATGAGTCAATTGGCAATAAAAAAGGTAAAAAATGCTAGCAAAGACAGCCCTTAGTCTCTCATTGTAAGGTTCATTTTCCAGACCACAAATCGTTGTTGCTCTTCTCTGAATACTCTCAAATTTTGCAACTTTCTGTTTAAAAAGTGTGGAGACAGTATTCCAGTTGTAGTCAGACCAATGTCATATACAGAGGTAATATAACCTTACTCCTGCTCAATATTCCCATTAATATAGCCTAGTATCACATTAGCCCTTTTTTCCACAGCATCAGGCTACTTTGAGCACAAGTACAGAAATGTATAACAATGTACATACACAACATGCTAATCAAAATCATAAAGATATCCTCCAGGGTACAATTAACAAAGTAAAAGGACTGCACTAAAAATTAACATACACATAAAGGTGATTTAAATTAACTGTTTTAATAGACTGAACTTATTCAAGGGATGAGTTAAACCATCATTCTCCCCAATGAATTAACTATTTCCAGGATAGAACAGAACAAAGGTGGTATTACGAGTTCAATGACAGATCAGACAGTCTGCAGGCACACCAGTTATGTTATCAGCAAGAAGTCTCATGATAATAGAAATTCTCCAGGGAGCAATTAGTCATCTGGCAGTCTCCCAGCAGGATATAAATAGCACCTTTTTAGAATACAGTATGGATTTATATGGTATGGTCGAGTGATAATGAGATAAAATGGAACATACCTTGGATGACCCATATGTCCCTCCTTCCATTGGAGAACCATATATGGTTTAAAGCTCTGAATCTTTAGGGAAATAATGTTATGACCATCAAATCTAACAAAATAACTATCTCAGTGAGTGGATGGTACCTCTGTATTTCAGATAACACATTTGCTGTGATCATATTCAACATATTTCAAGCAATGCCTCAACTTACCAAGTGAAGTGTAGCAGTGCTTGCTAAGGAAGATATGGACTCTAAACTCTACTCTACTAATACCTGTACTTCTGTGATTCATTCTCTATCCTCATGCATATGTTAAGGAGACAATAGATCCAGTGTTGTATTTACATATGGACCAAGTGGGCTATAGCCTATAAACAAAGGGCAACACAGTCTAAAGAGTAAAAGACATACACAGAATTTATTGTTCATAATGTTTCAAATGTATGTTTCATTAAGAGTCTCCCTGAACTCAGGGATACTGGGTATAATGCATTTTTCCTATATACATGACATTTTCTTTATTATCAGGATTCAATGACAGCACTGTAGGTAGAATCCCAGTGATGGGGACAAGCTTGTCCCTGCCTTCCCTGAGAAGCACACTGTGCTAGCATAATTTTTTATTTCAGACCTGGGCAACATAGACGGTTACTCTATCCATGGATGTATGGGGTCAGATTCTCAACTTGTGTACATTGTCATAGCTAAATTGAAGTAAGTGGAGTTATGCCTACTTACAACAGCTGAGTTATAGAATCATAGAAATGTAGCACTGGCAAGGACCTGAAGAAGTCATGTAGTTCAGCCCTCTATGCTGAAGCAGGACCAAGTATACTTAGACCATCCCTGACAGGTGTTTGTCTACCTTTTCTTAAAAGCCTCTAATGACAGGGATTCCACAATCTTCCTTGAAAGCCTATTCCAGTGCTTAACTATCCTTATAGTTAAAGTTTTTCCTAATATCTAACCTAAATCTCCCTTCCTGCAGATTAAGCCCATTACTTCTTGTGACACTTTTAGTGGACATAGAGAACAGCAGATTACCACCCTCTTTATAACAGCCCTTAACATATTTGAAGACTGTTATCAGGTCCCCACTCAGTCTTTTCTCAAGACTAAAAATGCATATTTTTAAAAAATGTCCTGATAGGTGAGGTTGCTAAATCGGTTTAGAAACATGGATATAGCATGGTTTCAGAATAGGCAGCAGGTTTAAAACAAATAAAAGGAAGTGTTTCTTCACACAACACACCGGCAACCTGTGGAACTCCTTGCCAGAGGATGTTGTGAAGGCCAAGACCATAACAGGGTTCAAAAAGGAACTAGATAAATTAATGGAGGATAGGTCCATCAATGGCTATTAGCCAGGCGGGCAGGAATGGTGTTCCTAGCCTCTGTTTGACAGAAGCTGGGAATGAGCGACAGGGGATGGATCACTTGATGATTACCTGTTCTGTTCATTCCCTCTGGGGCACCTGGCACTGGCCACTGTTGGAAGACAGGATACTGGGCTAGCTGGACCTTTGGTTTGACCCAGTAGGGCGATTCTTATGTTCATTATGTGAATGCCAAACAGCCTGCTCAACTGCTATGTTAGGTTTATTAGCATAGTGTAAAACTGTGTAGGCTACTTGGCATCTAAACAACTGAAGTTACAGAGTGACTTTGAAAAATCCACAATTAGATATCTCTCCATGGCATCACTTTAAAAACATCTTAACATAATTTAAAACGAATAGTAGGAAGAAGTCTTTGACTATCCTTATCTATAAGCAGAGCAACCAATGTGTCAGAATGTTCACAACTTATTTTTCTTTCTCAAAAGGTAGAGGATGAGCTGGTGGCACTGCAGAAGAAGTTAAAAGGAACTGAAGATGAACTGGATAAATACTCAGAAGCTCTCAAAGATGCTCAGGAAAAACTGGAACAGACTGATAAGAAGGCAACAGATGTATGTACCTGCACAGAATGCAGATGTGTAACTAACTAGAAATGGTATATTTTACAACACACAGGATATTGGTTGTATATTTGATTTAGTGTTACTTTATTGCAGTAGTTTGCCCAGAGGAAAAAGGCAGAGACAATTATGTCATGGTTGAGGTACGTAACTCCCCACCCCCACAAAAAAATGATATTGGTTGTCTAGGATTACATCTGTTGCTGCATTACGAAGCTTCCTGCTGATCCACCAGCACAAGAGTATCCTAAAACCAGCTTACTTATTCCCAAGAGATGCTCCCCTGTGTAGGACCATCAGATATTTTAGAGCCATTTCCTGTACGGTTACCCCTCCCTGTTACTGGCAGAAGGAACATGGTGGGGGGCTTCCAAGTACCCTAGTAATCCCCAACTGACATAGTGGCCCCTTGGGACTGTTGGCAGTTGATACAAGTAAGAACAGCCTGACAGCTGCTGTAACTTGTGCAGAGGATTGGCCTGACACAGAAAGGCCCTGGAACTGGTGGCTTAAAGACACTTTGCACTCCTGTTTTCCTCAGCCATAGATGAGGATCCGGCCCTCTGAGTTAATGCTGGGCAGGTGCAAATTCCACTGACACAATCACTAAGAATCAAGCACATTATCAGTTAAATTTACATTCCCATCTACAGTAGCAGTTTGCTTACCTTACCATCCAGATATTGTACAACCCAAACATGCTGCACAAACCCACAATTACATGAGAGACTTCTCTCTTGGACAGCCTATTTCCAGGGGGAGACTAAACCATTGTGTGCCACAGGCTGAGAATAGGCAGGCCAGGAGAGTTTAATCCAAGTTATTGTGCTCAATACAGGGGTGATTGGGTGGGGTTCAGTAGCCTATGGTGTGTAGGAGATCAAACTAGATGATCTGGTGATCTTTACTTTGAATTCTTACACAAAAACTCTGAGGATACATGCAGCCAATTCCTGTAATTGCACTCCCACACAAACCTTCCCTGGGTCCTCAGCCTGACTAAAGTGCTTTACTGATACCTACAGATGAACCTGAATCATTTACTGAGTGCCTGAAGCAGCCCTGGAGAAATGGCCTGACTTATAGCCCTTTCCACCCCTGAGCTATCCCTCTGCTGCTGGGGCACAGCACTGCCTTGCTGCTGAAACTGTTCTTCCTCCAATAGCTCCATTCAGGCCAGACTCTTCCCTTCCAGCCTCACCACCACCATGTGCCGTCCTGGAGAGCATGGGACAGACTTTCTTTTTCTTCATGCAGAGACTGATGAAGTCCTTCCGTTCACTTTCCTTTGTCATTTATTCCAGCTGGATAACTTGCTGCCTTTAAGTAGCTTTTTGGAAGTAGAAAGCTAAAGTTACAAGCAGAATCTGAATGTGCAGTTTAATAAAATCTCTCTCAAAGGAGAGCTCTAAGCAATTTCCCCCTTCTCTTAAACTACATGTTACTTTAACATAGGTCAAAAAAACCTGAACATGCTGGAAAAATAACTTAACTCTTGCTGACTTTAATAGAGCAACCCTCTGCTATTAGGGTGACCAGACAGCAAGTGTGAAAAATAAGACAAAGCCCCTAATAGTGGGATGTTTGTCACCCTATCCACTATTGTAAGCCTCAGAGCATGTAAAGAATGCTCCCCATGTGCTCCCAATTGAGACTGCTGGTTTCACACATGTGTGTGTGATTAGCCTTCCCGGGATCTTCCTGGTCTTTTACCACATGGATCCAGTGAATTACTTTTACTGTAGATTGTGGCAGGCTTTAACTGAAGAAAGGTTGGGTCAAATGGTCTCCAACTTTCAAGTAGCCACATATCCGTTTTCAGGTATGGTTGCCAACCCTCCCGGAATCGGGCTCTATCTCACAGAGGCTACTGAAGCCAAACTGGGAGATTTTAGGTGCTAAAAGTCTGGCGGCGCAGTGGGGTTAAGGCAGGTAAGCACCTCCTGGCCGGCGTCTGCACCTCACACACACACACCCCACCCCAACCCCCTGCACCCAAACTCCCTCCCAGAGCCCGCACCCCTCATCTCCTCCCACACCCAAATCCCCTGCCCCAGCCCTGAGCCCTCTCCAGCACTCAAACTCTCTCCCACAGCTTGCACCCCACACCCCCTCCTGCACTCCAACTCTCTGCCCCAGGCTCAGCCCGGAGCCCTCTCCCACACTCCAAACCTTTGGCCCGAGCCCCAACCTTCTGCCCCAGAGCCTGTACCCCAATCCTCTGCCCCAGGCTGGTGAGAGTGAGTGAGGGTGGGGGACAGCAAGCGACGGGGGGGGGGGATGGAGTGAAAGGGGCAGGGCCTTGGGGAAAGAGTGAGGCCTTGGAGGAGGGGACGGGGCAAAGGTGTTTGGGTTTGTGTGATTAGACAGTTGGCAACCCTATCTTCGGGAGATGCTTGTTACCGGTTGGAATCCTGTTTCATTAACACTGCATTTTAAAATGAAAGCATCTGGTGAAGGAGGTTACCAGTGCTGGATTGCTATAGATGTCTTTTCTAAGATATCAGTAGCTTTTGTATGCAATCTGCACATTCAATAAATAGTACTTAAGAAGAGAACAAATGAAATGCTGACTGACTTGTGATTAGAAAAATCGAATAACCAAACTGCACTAGGGAAATAGGAAGCACTCTAGCACCTGTCATACAAAAATCCACCAGCCAATAGTTATTTGCTTTTTTCCAAACAGTCTGTGTTTTAATATAATACGGTTCCTTTTACTCAGTATATATAGAAGGGATTAATTTGATCAGCTTGTCTTGATGTATGCATTGCGAGATTGCTGCCTACAACATTTCTTCACTGCCTTGTTTAGTCTAGTTGTGAGTTATTCCAGTGATGGGGCTTTAACTACTTCTTAGACTATTCAACAGTCTTCAAACAGATCTAATTGTTAGGAAATATTTCCCGATATTTTATTGCTCACTTTCAAACCATGTCTGCTAGGTAAACCCTCCCTTGTCTCCTGTTTTCACCTTCCGATTCCCTTAATTATTGTTGGGCCCAAGCTATCCATATTTGGCGTGAGGAAAGATTTTAGGTACTAAACACTCAACCCTGTAATATTTAATTTATCTTTCTCTGAAACCACTCTACATTAATGAGATGTCTCCAGTATGGGACAAGTTGACATCCTAAGAAGTTGGAGATTTAAATCCTAGAACTGCTTCTCTCTGATGGCAATATTGATATACCTCCTAGACCATAGGGGGGTGGGGAGGGAGCGCCACCCAGCTCCGCTCCTGGCCCTAGCTGCCAGCGCCGCCCCCAGGTCCCTGGCTGCCAGCCCCAGCCTTGGCCACCTTACCCCATCCGTGTCCCCCTCCCCTCCCAGAGCCATGGCCTCACTCCCAGCCCATGGAGGGGCACAGACAGGGTAAAGGGGGATGCAAGGTAAGAAGTTTGGGGACTACTGTCCTAGACCAACAAGACATAAACATATTTAATTAATATAGTATTTTCCTTCCAGATTATTAAAGAAGTTAAGTGATTTAGAAAAACCTATCCATATAGCAGGAAGTGTATGTGCTTTTTGATAAAACACTTTTAGATTATGGTAAAAATGTTATTGTCTCATTTTATAGCAAAACTTTGTGTTAACTTTTTCTCCCAAGACCATTATATTGTCCAGTATTTTTCACCAAACCTTTATGCTGAAAACAAAAACAGAGGATGGATTAAAGAGCAGTAATTCAAACTGTTTCACATTTAAAAAATACATTTGCACTGTTCATCATAGACAAAGTGGAATTTCAGAATGTCAGTTTTGGATTCAATGGCCAAAAACTGTAAATTTGACTTTCCACATCCCAATTTAATCAAAGCTAAACCACATTAATCTGCCTTGAATTTCACCAGTGAAACTTTATGCCATTAGAGAATCCTTCTGAAAGATTCTGGCAAGTCACAAGAGGCATCTGGGAGATGTGACGGCTCAGAATTAGTGATCTGTCCCTTTGAACATTCTTGCAGGATTGGGTTATCTTAGATATTAATATAACTCAGTACTGCAAGATGCCTACTACATTTTTTCACTGTAATGGGAATTCCATATTTAAAAAAAAATAATAATCAAGAATTGTATAAATGACAGGAGTCCTAACAACAAGAAGAGTTCATCAGACCAGCCCCCCCAGTTTCCACCATGGGCCCCAGATTGTCTCCCTATCTCCTGTTTTCCCCCCTCTCTGCCCAGTCTCAGAGGGCTATATAGAAGTGGTATAAAACAAAGTGGAATTATTTTTTGAAAGTTTCTTGCTGTGCCACATGCAAGCAGATGAGTAACTTTCCCCTGGTGGCTCCCAGACCATCCCCTGGCCAATCCCCATTTATAAACTATGTGAGATTTATAGACAGTGGAGCCCCCACTGTACACAGAAGTTGCTTTAACTAAATTCCATTAGTAAGCCATCCAAAGCTAGGGTTAGGATCTTTGACAAGACCAAAACTATAAGCCAAATGTGGAATTTCTGGACTGAGCCATTTGGGAGTTAGAAGAAAAAAGTTCCAACCAGATTTCTACATGTAGAACCTCCCATCTCCACAGTACAATTAGCTGAAAATGTTTTTCTTGTTAAACAGATTTTTAATGGTTAATTCTGTGTGATGAGGAAGAGAAAGTGTGGGTGTATTTTTAATAAAAACATTCTATATTTTGAAATTCCTATAGTTATATAGCTAAAAAACTAGAAAGCATCTTTTCCTAGAGTTCCATGCATATAAATAGTGAAAATGAAGTAATTAGAGGTGATCATTTTTGAATTATTGGTGTCCAGCTAGTTGAGTTTTATTTAACCAGTGCTGTTTGATTGTTTTGCATAGGCAGAAGGTGAAGTGGCAGCTTTGAATCGGCGTATCCAGCTGGTGGAAGAGGAGCTGGATCGTGCCCAAGAACGTCTGGCGACTGCCCTGCAGAAACTGGAGGAGGCAGAGAAGGCAGCAGATGAAAGTGAGAGGTAGGCATCCAAAAGGAACGATGCAGAGAAGTGACTTACATCGGAAGATCCCAGTAGTAGGCTACTTTAACAGTCTTTGAAGGTTTTAAAGACTTGGTGCACTTAAGTTCCGTTTCCCACTCACTCTTTCAGATGCTACTTTTAGTATTGTGAGAAATAAAGGGCCACAATCATAAAAGTATTACTGCTCTGGTTAATAAGCTGTTCCCATTGTCTAGACATTTCCCGTTTCATCCAAAAAATGACAAAAAACTTGCAGTATATCATATACATCCCAGCTGCCCTTTTGGGGAAGCTAAACTTCCCAAGGGCTATATTCTCCCTTGTCCTGTTCCTCTCCAGCTGTCTAACCTATTTCTTTCCCACCATGATCTATTGTAATTTGTGCCCCTTTTTGCTTTAACAAAGCCTGTTATCTCCACTGGGAAAAACTGTTATCTTTATTTACCTCTTGAGCACTATGCACACTCTTATGAGACTATAATAAAAATTAAACATAAAACTGCATGAAGTTACAACTAAGGTTGCTGAGTGCAATTCAGGAGAATACATACCATTGAACGCATCACTAACTCTCATAGAAATCTCAAGCTAAGGCTGCAAAGACATCTGATGCAGCTCTTAACACTCAGTTCATACAGTCAGATAATTAAAATAGAAGAATTCTCAGTTGTTAGCCCCAAACACTATTTACTTTTGCCTCTCAATTTATTTTATAGCTGGATTCAACTTCCATTGAAGTCAATGACTGACTTCAGTGGGAGTTGAACTGAGCCCTTAGCCGTTTTAATACTGCTTGTTACTGCTCCACCTATAATATATACTTATTCAATGTCTAAATTGCATAAATCTTTCTATTAGAACTCTGTTTTCAATTGCCTATAACTTGAACAATTGCGTAGGATTTGGACTGAAAGCTTCCAGGTTGGTCCTTGCCTCAGATTGAAAGTCTGAGCAAAAATGACTCAAGTGTTTCCAAGAATGAGGACCGTGAGAACTAATCATATTAAATAACATTTCTGATGGTTTTAACACTCATGTCTCTCTAAAGTAAAAACTTTAAAGTTGGCAGCAGAGTAGTCCTGAGATTGGAGGGGTGTTTTGTCGTCTCCATGAAATATATTGAAATTTGGCAGTTACAAATACAGAAAAATCATAATTTGCACATAGACAGTATAACTTGTTATATGCTTGCTCTTAATTTTCTGAACATTCCAGCTGCACAGGCTCCCAGACCTTGATGAACTTTCTGTATCACATGCATACAATATGCACAGCATTTGAGCCGTCTCCTGTTTGGAGCTCTGCTTTCCCCCCTTAAAATACTTGTTGATCTAAGGAGAAGGGCATTGGACAGGGAGCCAAGAGACCACACATTCTAGTCTCACCTCTTCCATTGATCAATAATGATTCCATGTACTTACAGTCTTATTATTGAGCAACTCCTCATACACCTACCTTTTGAAGTAGATACATATCGACCACCCTATTTTGCAGAAGAGGTAAGTGAAGATCTGTGATGTTGCACCAGGTCACTGCTGGCAGCTTTGGTAATAGAACCCGATTTTCATGCACTTAGACACAATGCATTTTATAATTAATATGCCAAATCTATGTGTTTGACTACGCTGTTTGTAAAAATACTTGTAACATATTTTTGCCTGTCCACTCAAGTGAAATAGCATCTAATCAGAGTCCTGACTCTGTCCCTTGCTCTAACCACCAACCTATATTTCCCTCCTAGAGAAATAAAATCCAAGATTATACTGCTGTCTAGTAAATACCTGGGCATCCCATTGTCAAAGAATGTTATGTATCCCCTTCTAGTAGCTGTATGTAGGGTGGACATTCCACCATCTGGGCCTATAATCTGTTGTGACTCCACATGTATTCTAAGATGCTAAAGGCCTCCCCCATCAATAGACCACAGAAGAGACTTCCAATGCCTAAGGGCCTTGTTGGTTAATTTATGGCAGAGGGTGCGCTGATCATATATATATATCCTTTACCCAAGCATCTCAGGCAGTGGGTATGGGAGTTTGAGACCAGAACACTTACTTCAGAAGAAGGGCTTTTCTTCAACCTGGTGTTCTTTGCTGGATCTGCTATCTGTAAAGGTATTGCAATTTCTAGAACCAAAGCTGTGCTCAGAATTCTATATGCTTATGAGCCTTGGTGGCAGTGGCATTGGAACAATTTTTATGATGGGGGTGCTGAAAGCCATTGAACAAAACTGTAAGCCTTGTATATGATGGAAACTACTTCAAGCTAGGGGGTGCTGCCACACACCCCAGTCCCTGTAGTTCCAGCACCCTGCTTTCAGGGCTCCCTGGCTCTGCAGGCTAGAGTCCAGAAACTATTAGTTGCCGTGAGTTGGGAGGGGAAATGTTGGATCCAACAAATTTTACATTGGCCTTTGATATTATTTTACTCTAACAGTTTACAAACTGCTCCAGATTTGAGCTCTAAGAAACAATTTCTCAGCATTTAAACAAAAACCTGGCCTCAATAGTTTGTCTTGAATGAACTAATATTTGTCCTGGGTAAAGCCACAGAGAAAAGTATTTAGCTATTTTGTTTTTAGCTATTTCCGCTTTACCTAATTATTCTAAGGACTACAAACTTGAGTAAGATTTTAAAAAGAAAAGTTCCCACTAGTATCGCTCAAATATGTTTTAAATGATACAAGCAAATAAATGTAATCTACTTAAAGTATATTGGGATCTTGCTAAATGGAAGAAGCACAATAAGCTAATAATCCTGCATCATTCAATAGCTGCAAGCACTGTTAAGTTCAGACAATCTGATAAGTAGAGATTCATTCCAACTAGTATTATCAGCAACTTTGTTAGCCAATAAGAGCATGATAGATTGGTTTGGGTTCAAGTCACAGTAGTTAGATATTAAGAAGTTCACAACAGGGCCTGTTTGGCTAAATGTGCTGACTGGCTTGTAGTAACCCCATCTCTCTGAAACAATCCGCTTTGTTTCCTTCTATAGAGGTATGAAAGTTATTGAAAACAGAGCAATGAAGGATGAAGAAAAAATGGAAATTCAGGAGATGCAGCTGAAAGAGGCTAAGCATATTGCTGAGGAGGCTGACCGTAAATATGAAGAGGTAAAAATGGCGCTGCATGGAAGTAGCAAGTGCTGTTTGCTTTGGTGAGAAAGTGATAAAAGAAAGTATCTGGAAGAACTTCAAATAGTCATATAGTCTGTTTAATACTATTTGTATACTTTCCATAAAGTGGTAGTTCAAGTTTGAAATATATTTTTGGGCACAGCAAGGCCACAAAGATGCAGTTCCTAACAGCCTGAGAATTAACATGAAATGAGCTTGTTACATCTTACACTGCCTAATGCTAGGAACATTGAAAGTCTCTCTGCTTCTGCGGAAGGGATCCTGCATTGAGCTCACTCTCCCTAGCAGCTGATTATAGGGTGTCAAGAGAGCATGGGCCAGATCTCTGTAATGTGTTGTCTATATGTTGCATATCTCCAGACTGGGTTGCTTCTAGCCTTTATCTGAGAAGAAAGAAACCTGCAGAGATGTGGAGCTTTGTGGAAAACAAATAGGGAAAATATAATTCTCCTCTCTCTGCAGGTTGCGCGTAAACTGGTCATTTTGGAGGGTGAACTAGAGAGAGCCGAGGAACGTGCTGAGGTGTCAGAACTGTGAGTGGCTGTTCAATGGTTCTGCATGTACATAAATCATTTTGCAATATCAGACTAGAGGTGGAAAGACCTTATTAGGTCCTATCTGTTCCCTGAATGCAGGGGGGAGGAGAAGGGCCTGCATAGTATGTAGAGCCTTATCTCAGGGTTTTCATAGTAGCATCACTGTAGGATCCAAGTACACCTCTACCCTCGATATAACGCTGTCCTCGCGCACCAAGAAATCTTACCGTGTTATAGGTGAAACTGCGTTATATCGAACTTGCTTTGATCCACCGGAGTGTGCAGCTCCGCCCCACCCCCCACCCCACCCCCCGGAGCACTGCTTTACCACGTTATATCCAAATTCATGTTATATTGGGTCACGTTATATTGGGGCAGAGGTGTATTGTATCTCATTAATGTAAAGGTTGCCAGTATTTAGAGCTGGTGAGACATGGAATTTCCTGAAGAATGGAAATTTCAAATATTTTTTAAAAGTTTTAGTTCCCTGTCATTCAGGAATCTCTACGAATTCCCTGATGGGAAGCCTATTAGATCTGAGAGCCTGCCATGCTCACGAATGGTGTGGAGAAAGTGAATAAGGAAGTGTAATTTACTCCTTCCCATAACACAACCAGTGGTTACCCAATAAAATTAATAGGCAGCAGGTTTAAAACATAAGGAAATACTTCTTCACACAATGCAGTCAACCTGTGGACCTCATTGCCAAGGATGTTTTGAAGGCCAAAAGTATAACTGAGTTCAAAAAAGAATTAGATAAGTTCCTGGAGGACAGGACCATTAATGCCTATTAGTCAAGATGGTCAGGGACGCAACCCCTTGCTCTGGGTGTCTTTAAGCCTCTGATAGCCAGAAGATGGGACTGGATGACAGGGAATGGATCACTTGATAAACTGCCCTGTTCCGTTCATTTCCTCTAAAGCATCCGACACCGGCCACTGTTGGAAGACAGGATCATGGGCTAGATCAGGGGAGGGCAAACTACGGTCTGTGGGCCGGATCCAGCCCATCAGGTCTTTCAATCCAGCGCGTGGGATTGCCAGCCCCGTGGCGCAGCAGGACTAAGGCAGGCTCCCTGCCTGCCCTGGCCCTGTGCCACTCCTGGAAGCAGCCGGCACCATGTCCCTGTGACCCCTGGGGAAAGGGGGGGCAGAGGGCTCCGTGCGCTGCCCTCGCCTGCAGGCACCGCCCCCCACAGCTCCTATTGGCTGGGAACGGGGAACAACGGCCAATGGAAGCTTCAGGGTTGGTACCCACAGGTGAGGGCAGCACGCCGAGATGCCTGCCCTAGCCCACCCCCAGGAGCCACTGCTGGACATGCTGGCCACTTCCAGGAGCAGCACGGGGCCGGGGCCATCAGGGAGCCTGCCTTAGCCCCACTGAACACCGCTGCCACCCCAGAGCCCGAACCCTTCCTGCACCCCGCACCCCAACCCCCTTCCCTGAGCCTCCTAACCCTCTGCCTTGAGCCCCCGTCACACCCCTCCTGAACCCCAACCTCCTGCCCTGAGCCCCCGTCGCACCCCGCACGCCTCCTGCATACCAACCCCCTGCCCTGAACCCCCTCCTGCACCCCACACCCCTCCCCCTGAGTCCCTTCCTGCACACCACACCCACACTCCCTCCCGCACCCCAACCCCCTGCCCCAGCCCTACATTCATGGCCCTGCGTACAATTTCCCCACCCAGATGTGGCGCTTGAGTCAAAAGTTTGCCCACCTTTGGGCTAGATGGACCATTGATCTGACCCAGTACGGCCATTCTTATGTTCTAATTAAATTCCTGGTACAACTGACAGAAGATACCTGTTCACAGAGGACAGCATGGAGCTCTAAGATTCAAGAAAGGAAATCAAGCGGAACAAATAAGCCTAACAAGCTATATTTTGCTACAAAAATCTATTTGCTACAAAAGTCGGCATAGTATATTTTGGGAAACTGTAAATGCTATGTACACCAACTTAGTGCACTGAGTGTATCTAACAAGTTGGCTCACATTTTACTTGTTTAGCGCATTTGGAAACCAAACAGCATAATATATGGAGAAGAACTGATCTGATCACCTTTGTCTTTGTGTAGAAAATGCAGTGACCTTGAAGAAGAACTAAAAAATGTCACTAACAACCTAAAGTCCCTGGAGGCTCAGTCTGAGAAGGTTGGTTCTTCCTGATTAAGAACACAGAATGTTTAAGGTTCAGCAAGGAGAATGAAGACTTGGTGATACAAGTTTACAGCAATCACAAAAAAAGAGGAATCTGAAAACTTGTCATGCTTTTTGTATTGATTAACTGAGGAATTATTGGAGGAATTGGTGTGTAAGGTGAATTTGATACCAAAAAGTCTTCTGTAGAAAGCCAGTACATTTGCTTGTAGTAGGGGTCCTAGGACAATCTGACTGGAGATCTAATTGTGTGGAATTAGTCCCTTGTGCTATCAACATATTAGACCCAGAGTATGTTACAAGACACACCAATTTACGTAATACTGTGAGGCTATGTTAACTAATACTGAATGATTTCACAAAGTTGTATGGCTGGGGGAGCAGGGGTCAAGCAATTGAAGAGGGAATGAAGCACGGTATTGTATGGGAAGTGTCATCTTACCTGTGCATTGCCCATTTTTCTAGTGTTTGCAGTTGGGAGAGGGAGGTTGATGTCTTTTGGTGTGTGGGTGTATTTATTAACAGTTAACACCCTTGTAAGGGGGTTTTGGAGTGAACTTTGCATTTCTGGGTTATTCAGTACTTGAGTTTTGGGGAATGAAACATGTTCAGGGAAGGCACACGTAGTACAGGACATTGTTGTGCTACTACAGTCTTAACTCCAAATTACCCACACTTTTTACTTTTGAATCTGTTTGCTGGCATCACTTACAAAGTTTTTCTAGCACAGAAGACTAACAGGCTAGGAATATATCTCACTCATTACTGAACCTTTTAGAAGTTGTATTATATAGCTGGATAGCTTTACATGGAACTGTACTGAAATTCACAGGATCTCTGCCCTGAGGAGCTCACAAGAGTAGTTCAGACAGAACTTGTCAAATGATGAGCCATGGTGGATGAAGTGTAGAGGAAAAGCAAAGGCAATACAGCTGGTAGGGTGTTTTACAAGAACAACAAAATTGGGGGATGGTAACCAACTTTACATACGCTTCTCTTGTGTCTTCTGACAATTTAATTCAAGTATCTGGGTACCAGAATGGGCGCAGATACTGAGTAGAGACTAAAGATAGAATTTTAGTCCAAATAACTGACTTTCGAGGAGGGGCTTGAAAATAAGTGAAGTCACTTGTTGAAGAATAGCCTTTTCCAGGGAGATGGGATGGTTTGAATTACTTCAAGGACATGAGTTTCTTGAGGTAGGGGTGTGTGTGTGTGTATGTGTGTGTGTGTGTGTACACACACACACACGGCTCCACTTTTTATTATATGTAAGTGGAGCCATAGTCCAAGGCAAAGAATATAGCCCCTAAGCAAAAGACAAGGCATTCAGAATTTTATTCAGACAGTGGGCAAACAAGAAACCTCAAGAAATACAGTGACATGGTTGCATCCAGGAAATGGGATGATAGTTAAGGAAAAGCATTTTAGAATGACAGGAGGCTACTACCTGTTATTAGTCAATGGCCCTTAACAGTAGCCTAACAAAAAAGTTAAACTGTCTGATGTTTAGTTTTCCTACCAGTTTCTTAACAGATTGTTCGCCCTGTTTTCACAGTACTCTGAAAAAGAGGATAAATATGAAGAAGAAATCAAGCTTCTCTCTGACAAACTCAAGGAGGTGAGACGATCCATCCCAATGAATTTGCATTTCAGCAGAGATTGTTTCTCGTCCAGTATCTAAGATTCTGCATAATCTTTTTCCAGGCTGAAACACGTGCGGAGTTTGCAGAAAGAACGGTTGCTAAACTGGAAAAGACTATTGATGATCTGGAAGGTATGAAATTACTTTTGAAATTTTTACAAGTCCCATCAATTTCAAACTGAGAAACAATAAATTCTAGCACTATGTATTCTCTGTAGATTATGGGGGAAATCTTTATACTACTATAATTACCTGTAGCGAGACCATTAAACACAGTTATATTATAATATTTACTTTTTTCTCTCAGCATTTTCCCCTAAAAATTCATCCATTTGGTAGTACTATAGAATCACCTGAATCTGTGGATGGCCTATTCTCTTGATTAAGAAATGAACACTTAAAATATGTCTGAATTCTTAATAGGACAGAATGCTCTACTGAACATAACACGCTATTACAGATTCTATACTTATTAAACACCATTTAATCCCTTGGTATGGGGTGAACGTGTCCCCTGCCTCCATGTAGCTGAATTTATGTTCATTTTGTCCTGATTAAGCCAGTCAGTTGGACTATCAGACTAAATCAGTTTTCTCGGAGGAGCTCCAAAAAAGTTGTCCCTTATAAACTGAAAGCTATGCATATGAGATTCATACATGTAGACATATTGTTCATTAATGTGCTTTGTTCCTGTAAATTGCTTGAAGAAGAACATAAGAGCATAAGAACAGCCATACAGTGTCAGACCAAAGGTCCATCTTGCCCACTATCCTGTTTTCTGACAGAGGCCAATGCTAGGTACCCCAGAGGCTAGGGACACCATCCCTGCCCATCCTGACTAATAGTCATTGATGGACCTACATTCTTCAAAACTTAGCTCTCAGTAGAAAAATAGTGATAGTTAATCTGGAGGTGTGAGAGCCACACACTAGTCTACAGCCAGATGGTTGGGTCCAAAAGCAAACTAGATCCCAAATTTCAGGATGATTGAGATTGTGTTCCAATAAAAAGGACAGGGTATCAATCCCAGAAGCTGTGCTAGCATCTCTTCTGAATGGAATAGCTACCACTCCTTCCCAGAGATCACATGCAACAAGTAATAGCAAAGGAATGTAAGCAGCAGAAACCATGACTATAGGTGAAAATTAGTGTGGTCAAGTGATTTAAAAAAAATCATGATTAATCACGCTGTTAAACAATAATAGAATACTATTTATATGCTCACTTTATATTTATTTTTATTATAAAAAATTCACTGTAAAAAATAAAAAATACTATTTTTTAATTCACTTAATACAAGTACTGTAGTGCAATCTCTTTATAATGAAAATTGAACTTACAAATGTAGAATTATGTACAAAAATAACTGCATTCAAAAATAAAACAATGTAAAACTTTAGAGCGTACAAGTCCACTCAATCCTACTTCTTGTTCAGCCAATCGCTCAGACCAGGGGTCGGCAACGTTTGGCCTGCGGCTCGCCAGGGTAAGCACCCTGGCAGGCCGGGCCAGTTTATTTACCTGTTGACGCGGCAGGTAAAGCCGATTGCGGCCCCCACTGACCGCGGTTCGCCGTCCTGGGCCAATGGGGGCGGCGAGAAGCGGCGCGGGCAAGGGATGTGCTGGCCACGGCTTCCCCGGGCTCAGACAAACAAGTTTGTTTACATTTGCAGGAGATAATGCTGCCCACTTCTTGTTTACAATGTCACCTGAAAGTGAGAACAGGCGTTCTCATGGCACTGTTGTAGCCGGAGTTGCAAGATATTTATGTGCCAGATGCGCTAAAGATTCATAGGTCCCTTCATCTTCCACCACCATTCCAGAGGACATGCGTCCATGCTGATGATGGGTTCTGCTTGATAACAATCCAAAGTAGTGCAGACCAACACATGTTCATTTTCATCATCTGAGTCAGATGCCACCAGCAGAAAGTTAATTTTCTTTTCTGGTGGTTTGGGTTCTGTAGTTTCTGCATCAGAGTGTTGCTCTTTTAAGAGTTCTGAAAGCATGCTCAACACCCCATCCTGATCAGATTTTGGAAGGCACTTCAGATTCTTAAATCTTAAGTCGAGTGTTGTAGCTATCTTTAGAAATCTCATACTGGTACCTTCGTTGTGTTTTGTCAAATCTGCAGTGAAAGTATCAGGGGATAGCCGTGTTAGTCTGTATCTACAAGATGCATCTGAAGAAGTGAGGTTTTTACCCACGAAAGCTTATGCCCAAATAAATCTGTTAGTCTTTAAGGTGCCACCAGACTCCTTGTTGTTTCTGCAGTGAAAGTGTTCTTAAAATGAACAACATGCTGGGTCATCATCCGAGACTGCTATAACATGAAATATATGGCAGAATGCGGGTAAAACACAAAGCAGGAGACATACTGAACTTCTTTGGGGAGAATTGTAACAAATTTTATTAATGCATTTTTTTTTTTTTAACAAGTCTCATCAGCATGGAAGCAAGTCCTCTGAATTTTGGCCAAAGCATGAAGGGGCATACGAATGTTTAGCAGATCTGGCATGTAAATACCTTTCAATCCCAGCTACAGAAGTGCCATGTGAATGTCTGTTCTCACTTTCAGGTGACATTATAAATAAGAAGCGGGCAGCATTATCTCCCGTAAATGTAAACAATCTTGTTTGTCTTAGCGATTGGCTGAACAAGAAGTAGGACTGAGTGGACTTGTAGGTTCTAAAGTTTTACGTTGTTTTGAGTGCAGTTACATAACAAACAAACAAAAAAAAAATACTCTTGATGACGCTGCTTCTTGGCAGTATTTCGGCGGCGACGCCTCTTGATGTTGCCGTTTCTCGGTGGCATTTCGGCGGATGCTTCTCCGTCGGCCAGTACGCGGGCGCACATAGATGCCCTGGCGGGCACTATGGCACCCATAAGCACCGCATTGGGGACCACTGCTGTATACCAACTGCACCTAATCAAGGGGCCATTTTATTTTATTTATAGGAATAGAATTTATTTTAAGGTTTGTTATCTGACTCAGTTGTGACCAGTAGGAAGATCTGGCTTCTAAATCTTTTCTAAAACTCTACTGAAAATTTTTTATAAGAAATTGAAACTCCTGACATTTTGGCAGTTAGTACATGTGTATAGCTTTTGCCTTATATTTTAATGTTCTCTAATCTTGTTTACATGTTTTCTTCTCATCTTTATTTTCCACCGTTTATCCTCACTTGCTGCATTCCAATTTTTCTCCATATTCTCTACCATGCATCTCTTGCTGTGGACTGTTTTACTACATTTCTTGTTGAACATCTTGCCTTGGGCCCTTGGATCTGTAGACGAGCTGTATGCTCAGAAGCTGAAGTACAAAGCTATCAGTGAGGAGCTTGACCATGCACTCAATGATATGACCTCTTTGTAAATGCATTTCCTCTTTTGGCTTTGCCTTGGTGCACTAAGATTCTGCCTTTAATACTAGTCTGAGTAATTCCTAGTACTAGTCCGTCAGTCTTTTTCTGTAAAAACTGAATTAAATAAAAAACAAGCTACCTTGATACCTGTACATTCTCTGCTTTTTTTCTTTTCCATGATTAATGACATAACTAATGTCCTTCTTTTAATTTGTTCTTTTATAACATGTCTGGTCAGATTTTAGCATAGCCCTGTAATTCTCACTAGGATACTTTTAGGAGAATTAGTTTAATTGTACTCAGATTGCTTCTTTAAAAACCAAAACCTATCCAGTTGTTAAGTTAAAATGTAAGTGATGGGTCACATAACAAAACTGGAAGAAAGTTCAAATAAAGTGGCATGTAGGACAAAATAAAAAATGAATATAAATCCCACCTGCAGCACTCATATTACTTCAGTGGTTATTTATTTCCTGGATAGCCGTGACTATAATGAACGCGCAAACAGGAATTGTGCAAAGACCCAACTTGAGCCAGCAAAAACAGATCCAGAGATACACTTGCTATGCTGTTGATGCCCCTTTGTGTGCTGCATCAAAATAAAACCACTCACAACTGGGATGTAAACTGATGAATGCTGTCATAACTAGTATCTTAAATCAATCAACTACTCCTTGAACAGAAGGATTTTAGGTAGTTTATTCCTGTCCAAGCAGATTTGAATTTGATTACAACTTTGAGAGACATTAAATCAAAAGCTTAATTACAATCTGAATATGACACCCATTCATTTAATAGTGTCCAATCATTTATAGATATTTCTATTGATACTTGCATGTTGATTAAGGACAATGTTACATGGATTGTAAATTGTCTGGAGGATCCCTAAATAACTATTATAAGTGACAAAGTGTCCTGTGAAAAACTACAGGGACCTGCTAGGTCTGATCTTATTCAAGAGGAAGTAACATCATTGCATTCAGAGGAGTTGCAGACACCAGTGAAAAGGGAGAAGTAATCCAAAGGAACTTAAAGAAATACCTGTTAACAGCAAGCTAATGCCTCTGATCAGAAAAATCCAAATACTTTTCAGTTTTCAGCTGTATGCATATGATGCCATGGGAGAGGTAATAATCCTTCTGCATACAACACTTTAGTAACCACACCTGGAATATTTTGTTTAGTTCTGCGCACTTCATTAAATTGACAAATGGGAGGGACCTCAGCAAGGAAGCTCAGAAAAGATAACTAGAATGGCCAGGAGGCTGAAAAGTAACCTATAAAGGAAGTTGAACTATGCATATTTAGGGCTCTTAATCTAAATGACGACAATGGCCATAGTAGAAGATGGAGATAAGTCTACAGAGTGTATGAGTGTGAAAACAGGGGATGAAGTGTGAGGGTGAAAATGGGATGAAGAACTATTTAGCATACTAAAAAGGGATGAAATTGAGAAATTGAGAAGGGTTTTATCTTGAGTAAGGAACTGTGCCAAATTAAATCTAGTAACTCTAAAATTTCAGTGTATTAGAACACCCTTGTTAAGACTTTAAATGTGCATATCTTGGATTTCTGTTTCAAGAAAAGAAACAAACACTCAACATATATGTATGACCTTGAATCTGACTCTGCTGGTTTGGCCAAATGCATACTTCCTATTTTAGATTTGAAGCCAAAAATAAACAAACAGTGCTTTTCTGTAAGACAACTGGCATATTTGAACTATTATTTTGTGCTATAGTTTAAAAAAAAATTATAAATTCTACTCTGTTTTCCTGCATGAAGTCTTTATGCCCGATGTCAACAAATAGGGGAAGAAAGAATTATTCAAATAATACATTAGGAAACTATCATCATGAATACAAAAAAATTTAATGCAATATTGTGGTTGAGTTTTGAAAGGCACAATAGTCAGGAAAGCCTTAGAATTCCTGATGCAAATATAACTCACCCCCCTCACACTTTGTAGCTGCTTAAAATTTCACACATTGAAATGAGCAACCTGGCCCTAACTTGAGGTGCAGACCATTCCTGGTCATCCAGTCCCAGCTTCTGGCAGTCAGTCAACCTGATTGGCAGAAGCTGGGACTGGATGACCAGGGATGGATCATTCAATAATTGCCCTGGTCTGTTCGCTCCCTCTGAAGCATCTGGCAGCGGCCATCGTCAGAGAAAGGATACAGAGCTAAGTGAACTATTGGTCTAACCCAGTATGGCCATTCTTATTTCTAACCCACATTTCAAACTGAAAGCAACAGGAGTTGCAGATATATCAAATATATATACTTGGACTGACACTGAGATGGAAATAGGAGAGACTTGTTGAAAGTTTCTAGGTAACGATAAAAGGGGTAAAAAACAAGGGTGATGTCATGATAGGGGTCTACTACAGATCATCTAACCAGGAACAAGAAATGGATGAGGCTTTTTTTAAAACAACTAACAAAATCATCCAAAGCACAGGACTTGGTAGTTATGGGGGACTTGAACTATCCAGACATCTATTGGGAAAATAACATGGCAGGGCACAGATTATCCAACAAGTTCCTGGAATGTACTGGAGACAAGTTTTATTTCAGAAGGTGGAAAAAGCTACTAGGGGAGAGGCTGTTCTAGATTTCATTTTGCTAAATAGGAAGGAACTGGTTAAGAATATGAAAGTGGAAGGCAGCTTGGGTGAAAGTGATCATGAAATGACAGAGTTCATGATTCTAAGAAATGGTAGGAGGGAAATCAGCACAATAAAGATAATGGATTTCAAGAAGGCAGACTTTAGCAAACTCAGGGAGTTGGTAGGTAAGATCCTATAGGAAGCAAGTCTAAGAGAAAAAACATTTCAAGAGAGTTGGCAGTTTTTCCAAGAGACATTGTTAAGGGCACAAGAGCAAACTATTCCAATGCATAGGAAAGACAGGAAGTATAACAAGAGACACACACACACACACCGGCTTAACCAAGAGATCTTCAATAATCTGAAACTCAAAAAAGAAGAGTCCTACAAAAAGTGAAAATTAGGTCAAATTACAAAGGATGAATATAAACAAATAACACAAGTATGTAGAGACAAAATTAGAAAGGCCAAGGCACAAAATGAGATTAAATTAGCTAGAGACAAGAAAACATTCTACAAATACATTAAAAGCAAGAGGAAGACCAAGGACAGGTAGTCCTGTTATGTGGTATACCTTGAATTTAGTAATGCTTTTGATACTGTCTTGCATGACTTTCTCATAAACAAACTAGGGAAGTACAAACTAGATGGAGCTACTATAAGGTGGATGCATAACTGATTGGAAAACCATTCCCAGAGAGTAGTTATCAGTGGTTCACAGTCAAGCTGGAAGGGCATATTAAATGGGGGCCCTCAGGGATCAATTCTGGATCTGGTTCTGTTCAATATTTTCATCAATGATTTAGATAATAGCATAGAATACAATGATTTAGATAATGGCATAAAGTTTTCAGACAATACCAAGCTGGGAGGGGTTGCAAGTGCTTTAGAGAACAGGATTAAAATTCAAAATGATCTGGACAAACTGGAGAAATGGTCTGAAGAAAATAGTATGAAATTCAATAAGGACAAATGCAAAGTACTCCATTTAGGAAGGAACAATCAGTTGCACACATACCAAATGGGAAGCGACTGCCTAGGAAAGAATACTGTGAAAAGGGATCTGGGGGTCATAGTGGAACACAAGCTAAATACGAGTCAACAGTGTAACACTGTTGCGCGCGCACACACACACACACAAAAAGCAAACATCATTCTGGGATGTATTAGCAGGTGTGTTGTAAGCAAGACACGAGAAGTAATTCTTCTGCTCTACTCTGCGCTGATTAGGCCTCAACTGAAATATTGTGTCCAGTTCTGGGGACCACATTTCAGGAAACGTGGACAAATTGGAGAAAGTCCAGAGAAGAGCAACAAAAATTATTAAAATTCTAGAAAACATGACCCATGAGGGAAGACTGAAAAAATTGGGTTTGTTTAGTCTGGAGAAGAGAAGACTGAGTGGGAACACAAGTATATAAAAGGTTGTTACAATGAAGAGGGAGGAAAATTGTTCTCATTAACCTCTGAAAATAGGACAAGAAGCAATGGGCTTAAATTGCAGCAAAGGCGGTTTAGGTTGGACATTAGAAAAGATTCTTAACTGTCACAGTAGTTAAGCACTGGAATAAATTACCTAAGGAGGCTGTAGAATCTCTGTCATTGGAGATTTTTAAGAGTAGGTTAGACAAACACCTGTCAGGGATGGTCTAGATAATATTTAGTCCTGCCTTGAGTGCAGGGGACTGGACTAAAAGACCTCTCGAGGTCCTTTCCAGTCCTACGATTCTATGATGCTATGTCTAGTGCACTTCTGAAAATTAGGCCCTCTGCTTCTCAGTGTCTAGTTGTAACTGCCTGGTTTGGAACCTTTAGAACTCAATCAGAACTCTGAAGGAACTGTTTTATAAATAAATAATAAATTAGAAAGGGAATCTCTAGCATTATATGTGTGTGATCCATACTCCATTTTTCTTTTGCTGGACTTTTGTAATTGGTGCAATCAAATCCATCAATGCTTGTGATGGCTCTCCCACTAGTACTAATCCCATGAGTCATATTGGGAAATATATGCCAATGGAAGCAGTTGTGATTTTTGTCAGTTCTACATCTAGTGCTAACAATACCTCTAAGGAGTGGTCTACACGGGGGTCAATCAGGAAAGGTGAATCAACTAAAGTCATGCAGTCAATGTGTATAACTTAGTGTGTTTACCTCCGTCCCCAGGTAGATGTTTTAATTCAGGAGCAATGTAACCTTAGGAGGACTAAGTTACAGGAAATGTAGACCACTTTACTCCTGAACGAAAGCATCCACAGGGGTTAAATGTACGTTATGTGCATTGACTTCACACCTTTAGTTGACTTGCCTTAATTTTGATAAATGGCCTGGTAGAGACATGTAATTTAGTGTTTAGGAGGAGGAGGGGTGTTTCACACTAACTTATGGGGTTTTTAGTTAAAATGCCTATTGTCCACATGATACAATTCTTCTTTCAATTTAAATGTCCAGTTTTTTACCAAGAGGATAATCCCTTTTGAAGGTGCATTAAGTTAACTAAGGAATGAGTTAGTGCAAAATAAGATTTGTGTGGATGCATCTATTTCACATTGACTTGGCAGTCCTCCCACTGTTATCTCATACTGCAATGCATGATGGCAGGCCCGACCTGTCTGTTTACCTGTGCGTCTTCTACTGTTATGGCATCTTGATCAGATTTTTGCTGTGAGGCCACCACCAAATCTCATTTGTCATGGGTCTGCAGTGTCACCCCTTTTGGCACTGTCCAACATTGACCAGGACTCTAAGTAGGTGAAGGAAGGGAGCTCCTCTGAAAGCCAAGATCTCTTCCTCACACAAAAGTCTGAGGCAGAGTCAAATGAACATGCAGCTCCTGAAAGCCAGGTGGACACCCAGCCTGATAGACCTGGAGAGGGGACTTCTGCGAGAAAGTTTGGTTCTATATTAAATAACTGTATAGAAGGGTTGAATATTTTTTTGTTGTGGATGGCTGCTAGAGGCTGCCATTGTGGGCAGATGTGATCTAGGAGCCTATCTGGGCCTGCTAGCTTGGAAATATCCCCCAGGGCTTTAAACTGCATCTGCACTGGGGAAGTTTAGTTCCGTGACTATTTGCTGCCCATATATATTAATAGCCCACTGGGCTGCCCCCCCTCCCTATGCCACTATGGTCTCCTTTCTCATTCCAGATTCCTCAACCACTATGCCCTAGCCCTCCCCCTAGTCAAGTAGGATTTAAATAAAGAAACACTATAATGTAACCATGTTCATTGAAACACTAGATGCTGTGAAAATAAAGCAATATTAAAAAAAAAAAAAGACATTGGTTTATAATTTGTGCAATGGCCTGAGATTTCAGCTATCTTAGCATTTTATGAGATACATTTCCCCAAAGTGGGACAGAACAGAGATAAGGCAAGTCAGCCTTCCAGCTACGTTAACCCTGTAAGTTCTGAACTATTGCAGAACTCTTCATTTTGCAATGCATTTGGTGCATGTTGGAGATGCGATAAAGCAGAATTGAAGGCAAACAAAACATCTTACCATCTTCAGAGTCACTCCAGACTGGCAAAAGGCTACGGAAATGGCATTCTAAAAGAAAGGAAAAAGCAATATTTTATCATTGGTGACATGAAAACTGAAATTAGTACAATAACTACTTGTTCTGTTTTCAGTTCCCCCAGCTCTTGCACCCGAAGCCCTGTGACCGCAACAGACTGGACTATTATCTACTGTGGATCACGTGGCCAATCTCCAGGGCAAGAAAAGAAATACAAAGCAGGAAATGTGGGGTGAGCTGCAGTCAGAGTCCAGAACAGGACCAAGAAGACAGAGGACTGGAGAGGAGTTTTCATTGCAGAGAAGGAGGCCAGAGAAATCCCTAGAAGACCATTGAATTGATGAGGCAAACTCTAGGAAACCTCTAGGATGTGCAAAACCAGCTCCTTGAACTGATGACAAAGCAGTTTTGCTAGAGACCCTTAGAGTGCCATCTTCCCACCCAACACTACAGTCACATCCCAGACATATCCTGCAGCCTGTGGACAATACTGCTTCCTGAGAGCAGCACCTGCACGTCCCAGAATTCCATCAGGCACTTTCCTGGGATGTGGTGTGTGGAGGAGAGTGAAAACACTGAATTCTGGGAACCCACCTTCATCCCCACAACTACAAACAATGGCTTCTGCTCTCACCATTCCACATATGAAGGGAAAGAGCACCCAGAAATCCTGTACAATCATGTTTACTCTGCACTTACAGGCAGGCTGTCCATGTATCTGCAGAGTTTAAAAATGAGCATTTTTTTCAAAACTCAACATATTTTATTGAGCTGAAATTTGCACTGTATTATTGTTTGTTACCAGGGTTACAAATTGGGACAGACTTATTCAATTTCTTGTTTTCATTATTTGAGGTTTGTTAAAGTTTTGCTTGACAAAAGCTCAAAGTTTAATAAAATTTCAAATCTCAAAACACAAAATCAACTTTCAGCAAATTGTCACACTAAGCGACTACAAAACACCAAATCCGCACTCTCGAAACAATGAACCCTGGCCAGAGAGCAGAATATGATTAAAATATTTCAAAAACCTCCCAGTATAAAGAAGACCTTAGAATCAGTAAGATGCCAAGGCACTGCATTTTAAAGAACAAAATCTCTATTACTTTCCCGGCAAAAGCGAGAATGAAAAGGACTTGCTGCACACAGAGATAGAAAATTAACGCTCTAGCAGTCCTTTCAGTCCGCGATCTCATCTATTGGGGACTGGTCCTGCTTTGAGCAGGGGGTCGGACTAGATACCTCCTGAGGTCCCTTCCAACCCTGAGAGTCTACGATCCCTCATCCTGAGGGTTTGGCAGCGGCTGCCAGTGTGAAAAGCCCATTTACTAGACACAGCCCGTGGCCCTGCCTGTCCCCGACGGGCGCGGGCGGTGACAGCGCAACGACTCAGCAACGGGTTCGCCGCAGCTCTACGTTTCTTTCAACGTGGCCAACGAGACTCGATTAAGCCCGTTTCGCTACGAAACTCCTACCGGGGCCGCGCGCTGGCAACGGGGGCCGCCGCTCTCCCCACAGGGCGCGCTGGCTTGTAAAAACCTGGGCTCGGCTCACCCGACCCCAGACACCCCCGGGGCGGGCGAGCGGCCCCAGGGAGGTACGTGGGCCCAGGACCATGAAGCTCACCGAGCTCTTCTGGCTCTAGCCAGCGCCTCACCCTGCTACCGCCACCGCCAGCGAAGGACCTCAGGAACGGCAACACGCAGCAGGGCAGTCAACCAATCAGGGAGCAGGTTACACACTCGGCAAGGTGCCCTACCAATGGAGCTTTAGCTCTGTGCTCTTCCTGCTCGGGAGCTGGCAGGGCGGGACGTGAGGTGACGCGTGCCTCAGCTAGCCAATAAGAGCATGAAGCGGGTGTGAGGGGCAATCGTCTCATCCTGTGAGACTCCGCGAGAGGCGGATGCTTCCTGAGGGGCGGGGCCCAGCCCGGTGGAACATGGCGAAGACCTACGATTATCTCTTCAAGCTGCTGCTGATCGGCGACTCGGGTGTGGGCAAGACCTGTGCGCTCTTCCGCTTCTCCGAGGATGCGTTCAACGCCACCTTCATCTCCACCATCGGTGAGCGCCGCCCCCTCAGCCGCGCCGGGCCCGCGAGCGAGCGAGACGCGGGGGGGGCGTGGGTTGCTAGGGGCAGGGCGGCCCGTGTGGCTGCGGGATAAGGGGGTGCCGGGGGCAGGGGCGCTGCGTGTTCGGGGCTGGCGGGGGCAGCTCCGTGTGTCTGTCCGTGGCGTGTGCAGGCTTACGGGTACAGAGAGCCGGTAGAGCCCGAGCTGCCGTGTGCGGGGTGGGGCACGGGGCCGTTCGCCGTCAGGCTGGGGCCGCGCGCGGGATGAGGGGAATGATCTGAAACGGAAGGGTTTTGTATTGGCACTACGATGTATTGTTGTTTGCCACTGTAAATTAAATCTAAATAGGGCACGCTCAGTCCGCAGTAAGCGTCTCCACGCTGATGTGCACCGAAATAACTGCCAACTCCAACCCGGTCTACACTACACTACGCACGTTTGCTGGTGTTGGTTAAGGACATGCGGTTTGTTTGCAACATTTACATGACCAAAAAAGCCCTACCGTAGGCGAATATATACCAGGATAAAAGTGCTTTTAGCAGTATAGCTTATTTTGGTTGGAGAACTGGTATAAGCTACACCACTAAAAGCATTTTCCTGCCAATATAAGCTGTGTCTGCAGTAGGAGGGTTTGCTGGTATAGCTGTACCAGTAAATTTATTCTAATGTAGACTATGCCTTAGTTATTTCAGTTCCAGTTTGTGTGCAGACAGGTCCTTAGCTAGATAGTGTACTTCTATACTTAAATTTTCTTTTTGCATAACAGTTGAGGTTTCATACACTAGCAAATGGGGGGCAGTAATGTTACATCTGTAGAATTACATATGGAATTAAAAAATAAACAGTGTTGCTCTGAAATCTGACTTATTTTTTAGTCATACTAAAATAAGACTATTTTAAAATGTTAATTTTTCTTTGCCAGTTTTTGACATGTTGTCTTAGTAAGAAGAGACTACCCCACTGCTAAAACAAATTCTCTAATAGTCTATTAGAATTGAGAAAAGAGAAATCTAATAGATTGTAATTAGATGATACTTCCAGCAACCCTGTGTGGCATAATGCTCTGTTGACCTTGATACAGCTTTTCTGAAGTTATATTGAACTGTACATTCTGGTTCAGCTGTAGCTACAGTAGGTCAGGCTTTGGATGTGACTGTACTTAAAGGGTTTTTATTTATTTGGTGTAACAATGTTACAATTTCCCTGCTGGTTTACAACAGGTCTGCTTTCAACAGAGGCTTTGTGAATGTCTTTGTTCAGAATGAGCTAAATGTTGTTAAGAACTCCATGGACATTCAGAATTCACTTTGCATCTAATCTATTAATTAAATGGAATGGGTGCCTTTGTTTTGGAAAGTTAAAGGGGAAAAAGTGTTAATTTGGTCTTTACTGGAAATCTTAATTAATGTAGGTTTTTTCCCCAGGTATTGACTTTAAGATTAGAACCATAGAGCTAGATGGCAAGAGAATTAAACTGCAGATATGGTAAGCATTTTCTTTTAAAGCTATGTGAATTAAGATAAAATGTTTAGCTCATGCCAAGTATCTCTCTTTGCTTCACAATTCGCATACTGAGTGGTGATATTATCACTAGGATTTTTGCTCTAATCCTGCTCTTTGGGAGATTATAGTATCTGAGTTTATTGAAGATGGGGTTTATGGAAAATAGATCCTGTCAAACTAACTTGATATCTTTTTTTCTATGAGATTACAAGTTTGGTAGATAAAGGTAATAAAGTTGATATAATACACTTCTGTAAAGGTGTTTGATTTAGTACCACATGAGATTTTGATTTAAAAAAAAAATAGAACAATATGAAATTTAACATGGCATCCATTAAATGGATTAAAAACTGGCTAAGTGATAGGTCTTGAAAATGTAATTGTAAATGGGGAAATCATTGAGCAAGTATGTTTCCACTGGAAACAGTGGAGTCTTGCATGGATAACACTAGAACTAGGGGTCAGCAAATGAAATTAATAAGCAGCAGGTTTAAAACAAACAAATGGAAGTATTTCTTCACACTACACAGTCAACCTGTGGAACTGTTTGCCAGAGAATGTTGTGAAGACCAGGATTAACAGGGTTCGAAAAAGAATTAGATAAGTTCATCGAGGATAGGTGCATCAGTGGCTATTAGCCAGGATGGGCAGGGACGCAAAACCATGCGCTGAAGTGTCCCTAGCTTCTGTTTGCCAGAAGCTGGGAATGGGCAACAGAGGACGGATCACTTGATGATTACCTGTTCTGTTCGTTCTCTCAGAAGCACCTGGCATTGGCCACTGTCAAGACAGGATACTGGGTTAAATGGACCATTGATCTGACCTAGCATGGCTGTTCTTATGGATCAATTCTTGGCCCTATGCTATTTAACATTTTTATCAGTGACCCAAAGAAAAACATAAACACTGAAAGATTTTAGGTGACACAAAAACTCGGGGAGTGGTAAATAACGATTCAGAGATGCCTGGTAAACTGGATGCAAGCAAATAATATGCATTTTAATACGGCTACAAGTAAATATATACATCTAGGAACAAAAAATGTAGGCCAGACTCTATCCAGGGAAGCATTGACTCTCTGAAAAAGATTCGGGGGTTGTGGTGGATAATCATCTGAACACTAGGAGCTTGTGTGATGCTGTGGCCAAAAGAGCTAATGCGATCTTGGAATGCATATACAGAGGAATCATAGAGATCAGAAGGGACCGCCAGGGTCATCGAGTCCAACCCCCTGCCAAGATGCAAGATTTGTTGGGTCTAAATCATCCAAGACAGATGGCTATCCAGCCTTCTTTGGAAAACCTCCAGTGAAGAAGCTTCCACAATCTCCTGAAGCAGTTTGTTCCATTGTCTTACTGTTCTTACAGTTAGGAAGTTTTTCTTGAAATTTAATCTAAATCTGCTGTGCTGTGGTTTGAACCCATTGCCTCTTGTCCTGCCCTCTGTGACAAGAGAACAATTTTTCCATCCTTTTATGACAGCCTTTCAAGTATCTGAAGACAGCTATCAGATCCCCCACCTTAATCTCTTCCAAACTAAACATACCCAGGTCCTTCAGTCTTTGCTCATATGGCTTGCATTCCATCCCTTTAATCATCTTTGTTGCTCGCCTCTGGATGCTTTCCAGTTTCTCTACCTCCTTTCTATACATTGGTGACCAAAATTGGACACAGTACTCAAGCTGAGGCCTAACCAACACCAAGTAGAGCGGTACTATCACCTCCTGTGAACTGCATGCTATGCCTCTGTTAATGCAACCTAAAATTGTATTTGCTTTTTCTGCAATAGTGTCGCATTGCTGACTCACATTGAGGTTGTGATCCGTCACAACTCCCAGATCCTTCGCAGCCGTGCTGCAGTCAAGCCAGTTTCCCCCCATTCTGTATTTGTGTGTATGATTTTTCTTCCCAAAGTGTAGCACCTTGCATTTGTTTTTGAATTTCATTTTATTGTCTACAGCCCAGTTCCCCAATTTATCAAGATCCCTCTAAATTTTTGCTCTATCCTCCAAAGTATTGGCAACTTCCCCTAGCTTTTTGTCATCTGCAAACTTGATCAGTATGCTCTCTATACCTACATCCAGGTCATTAATGAAGATGTTAAGCAGCATCGGACCCCAAACAGATCCTTGTGGAACCCCACTTAAGACCTTCCTCCAATCCAAGATCATTCCATTAATCCTGGAATCTCAAGTAGGAGTAGAGAGGTTATTTTATCTCTGTCTTTGGCACTGGTGCAACTGCTGCTGGAATACTGTGTTCAGTTCTGGTGCCAACAATTCAAGAAGGATGTTGATAAATTGAGAGTTCAGACACCAGCCATGAGAGTGATTAAAAGATTAGAAAACTTGCCTTTTTAGTGATAGACTCAAGGTGATCGGTCTATTTAGCTTAACAAAAAGAAGGTTGGGGGTGACTTGGTAACAGTCTAAAAGTATCTACATGGGGAACAAATGTTTAATAATGGGCTCTTCAGTATTGCAGAGAAAGGTATAACACAATCCGATGGCTGGAAGTTGAAGCTAGACAAATTCAGACTGGAAATAGCTATACATTTTTTTTGCAGAGAGTAATTAACCATTGGAACAATTTACCAAGGGTTGTGGCGGAGTCTCCATCACTGATAAATTTAAAATCAAGATTGGATATTTTTCCAAAAGATGTGCTCGAGGAATTATTTTGGGAAAGTTCCCTGGCCTGTATTATTCAGGAGGTCAGAATAGATCATAATGGTTCCTTCTGGCCTTGGAATCTGTGAAGGTAAAGCTGTTGATTTGGTGTGTTTAAAGAATGTCCCTGTAAAGTTTAATGAAACTCTCTCTAGTGATCTTAATTTCAGACTGTGTTCAAGTAGTTTGCATGTACTAATTGGATTTGCTTAATTATTTTAGGGACACAGCTGGGCAGGAACGGTTTAGAACAATCACAACTGCATATTACAGAGGAGCAATGGTAAGCATGATGTAGCTGAAATTTTTTTTTTATCTATTTATAATTTGCAGAAAGTGAAACCATTCAAGTTTTACTATGAAGCATAAGCATTTATAACTGTAATGAGCTTCAGAACTTGAACTCCACTTGGTGAAGTATTTGATAAGACCAGTGCTCCCATCTCTATGTTCAAATTACGCTGGTGTGGGAGTCCCACAAAGTCAGACTTCCAGTGTGACTTGCATGTGCATGTTGGTGGCAGATAAATAATATGTGGCTTGCTAGGACATAGGTTGTAGAACATCTCAAAGATTCTTGTACTCTAGTGATATGTAATAAATTTAACTCAAGCTACATAGTAGAATGCTGTTTGGTTTTTTGTTTCCTTTCAGCAGTTGCTTCTCTATGCAAGTGGCTTCGTATCAAAGGTTGATGTGGTGTTTGTTTTTTTTTTTTGGGGGGGGGGGAAGGGGGGGTGTGTTGTTGTTTTTTTAAATTCTAGCCTTTCAGAATTTATTTTTCTTTCTGTCTTGGACATGTCTGTAATCCTTACAAAAACAATTGTTAGTTGAAATTAAGTTGCCATGTCTTTTTTTTGTTTTGTTTTTTTAATCTTTAGGGCATCATGTTGGTATATGACATAACCAATGAGAAATCTTTTGAAAACATTCGGAATTGGGTCAGGAATATTGAAGAGGTAACTTCCCATTTTATTTACAGGAATCTTTAATATTAAATATACTGTCCCTATGCAACCTTTAGAAAAATAGTTAGTCAAAATGGTTCAGAACTGTGAAATTTGTCACTAAGTTGTGTATGTTAAAATATATACATTTTTTTTGTGTGGAGTGGGTTGGAGAGACGGTGTTCGTCTGAAGCTCCAAATTGGTAATATCTTCTGGAATTTATTAGTCAGTAGTAATTCAGTATGCCCGCATGTAAGAGTAGACTACATGAACTGGAGTCTTTCCTGCAATTAAGAAATCCAACAGTTGACTGATTCTACCCTGACAGCATTCTAATTATTTCTAAACAGAGCACTTTCTGGGCATTGAGTGGCACCAGTATATTGCAGGCATGAGGTATTGTCCTAGTTGGAGCCGTAAATCCCTGGAAAATGTTCAGCATCAAAGTTGTCAATGCTTTCAGCACAACACCTAGTTCATCTTGTTGATGGCGTTCTGCATTTATTGAGCACTTCTAGAGTTAACTCAGTACTTAGGCAGAATTCAGAAATTATTTGTTAATCTTGCAATGTGCAGTTATGAAGCTTTAAACTTTATGGACGTAGAAAAAACAATGAAGGATAGAGAGAAGTGATTGTGATATAGACTTAAATGTGTGTATTTCATTATGTGAAGTAAAAAATGTTGTAGAACGTGTACAGCTCAGTTATCACATTACTTTGTCCTACAATTACCATTATACCTCTCTTCACTTGACTCCCGTTGTCATAATAAAGAAAAGTTTCCTAGTCAGCTGAGCTGCTTCCTTTATATTTTTCCTTCACTGGGAGCATGCCTAAAAAGGGTGAGGTGACATGGCCTCTTGGACCAAAAGCGATTTGTTAACCCCTGCGTTGCTAGTGTGGGGTTGATACACCCTGCCACATAGGTACACGAGACAAGATACAGAAAGCACCATAATTACTTTAGATGAGTGTGAAGCAATAGTCTGGATAACTTTCTCTAAGACTAATGGTGAACTGAAAGTTAACATCTTACCTGCTTCTAATTAAAAAGCCAATTTCCCCTTGTTGTTGTTGTTGTGTAAGTGGCATTCTGGGCATCTGAGGTGCAGTGACATTTTTGCTGTTCATCAAATGCATCGTACCAGTTCTTTACGTACGCGTGTGTGTGTGTGGAGAGAGGGAGTGTACATATTAATAAACATTGCAGTTCTGAAATGGCAGCAATGGATATTATGGTATGAAAAACTAACTTTTCCTGTAATTATTGTGAATTCACTGCCTTAGTTACACTATAAGTCTGTAGCTTTTGGGGGATGAGTGGAAGAGAAGAGTATGAGGTAAGTTGTATGTTCCTGGCATGCTGTCAGAACTCAGTGCAGAGTATAATGGTCTCTTGTAAGAGAGAATACGTATTAAAAGTAAACGTCATGAACACAAAGCCAACAAATGTTCTGCAAATAATTTATCTTACCTTTGTGCCCATTTTCATCTTAGCACGCATCCCCAGATGTCGAAAAGATGATTCTTGGAAACAAATGTGATGTGAATGATAAAAGACAAGTTTCTAGAGAGCAAGGGGAGAAGGTGAGTGCCCCAATTCCGCTCTCTGGATAGACACTAGTCTGTTGTGATTGAATCCCATGTTCTTCTAAGCCCCTTTGGTATGGACAATGACCAGTTCTGAGCTCTGGGTCTCTCAGGCACAGTCTCAGGTGCAGACCTATTGTCTGACATCCTTCTTGGGCAGTGAGAGCCACAGTCGTGCCACCTTAGATGCTGGAACTGGTGCTACAGACTTCCTCGGTCCGCAGTTGTTTATTCCTCCCAGAGTTCATCTCTCTGTGGAGAGCTCTGGTTTCTTAAGTCCTTCAGAGAGAACATGGCAGTAAAGCAAGGAACATAGACTTAGCACAGGAGTTTCTTAATCACAAGCACTTACACATGAGTTACAGATCTATGGAAAACAACAGATTCCTGAATGCAATCCCCCTAGTCCAGTGGTCCCCAACGGCGGCTTTTCGGCAGCAACACCTCTTAATGCCGCTGCTTCTCGGCGGCATTTCAGCGGTGACGCCTCTTGACGTTGCTGCTTCTCGGCAGCATTTCGGCGGATGCTTCTCGGTCCTCGGTGGCTCGTCGTCTGGTGCCCGCCATACCGAAAAGGTTGGGGACCACTGCCCTAGTCTGACCTCCCTGCACCTGTGAGTTTTGGGTTTGGTATTAGTCCTTAAACCAGGCAGCCTGTCCAGGCTTCTTGGCCTGGTCATCTTGCAACTGGCAGTGTAATGGAGTCACCTGTTTAGAAGCACCTTTTTAAAATAGGCTTGGGGTATGTCTACGTTGCAATCACTAGGTGTGATTGCAGTTCAAAAAGACATACCTGAACTAACTTTAATCTCACTAGCTCAGCTCTCAAAACAGGAATGCTGTGGCTATACAAGCATCAGTGCAGACTATAGAAACCCACCTGAAATCCTGAGTAATTACTTGCAGGGCTAGCCCGCACTGAAGCTTGTGCTGCCACAGCTTGACTGTTCGAGGACCCAAGCTAGCTAGCTTGGGTCCATGTCTGCTCAAGCTGCAGTTACACCCAGCAATTACAGTCAACACATATTCTCAGTCCCTCTTGTTGCCCATGTGTTTCCTCTGGGGAAATTCCAGGGTCCAAAGTCAGTTGCCCTGTTAGTAGAAAACCCATTGTTCCAGTAGGGAAGAGTCGTTCAATGTTGATGGCCTTTGATTGCTCTGTGTCAGGTTTTCAGACAGTTTGTCCACTCCCTGTCCAGCCTCTGCTGTGAAATGGATACTCTAATCTACTGTTTACAATGCTAAATGACATTCACAAAACTGAATTCATTAATTTGACATAGACATATCCCCCAAATTCTCACCGTGAGAACAGCATTGTATTGTGTATCATTGATCTTTATTGCAAGAGTTAAAATTTTAACAATTCTGGAATGCTTCAGGAAACTCATCAGCTGGTGTGTTTCATTTAGGAGTACAAGTAGTAAATGTGAGCATAGAATAATTCTATCAATGTGTGCAGTATTGCATGTAGACTGAAAATTTGTCTTTTTTTTTTTTTCTTTTCAAAAGCAAGAGTTGTCACCCTTTCTCTAAAATGTTCCCAATGTGGCACATTAGGCTGTGTATCCTAAGTCTTATTGCTTAAATTCATTTATTTGTAATTAGACTTTTAAATACAAAAATGCACCTATCCAATCTCTACACACCTTTTTGACACTTAATGTATTTTTAAATTATAACCATAGAATATCAGGGTTGGAAGTGACCTCAGGAGGTCATCTAGTCCAACCCCCTGCTCAAAGCAGGACCTAATCCCAACTAAATCATCCCAGCCAGGGCTTTGTCAAGCCTGACCTTAAAAACCTCTAAGGAAGGAGATTACACCACCTCCCTAGGTAACCCATTCCAGTGCTTCACCACCCTCCAAGTGAAAAAGTTTTTCCTAATATCCAATTTAAACCTCCCCCACTGCAACTTGAGACCATTACTCCTTGTTCTGTCATCTGCTACCACTGAGAACAGTCTAGATCCATCCTCTTTGGAACCCCCTTTCAGGTAGTTGAAAGCAGCTATCAAATCGCCCCTCATTCTTCTCTTCTGCAGACTAAACAATCCCAGTTCCCTCAGCCTCTCCTCATAACTCATGTGCTCCAGCCCCCTAATCATTTTTGTTGCCCTCCACTGGACTCTTTCCAATTTTTCCACATCCTCCTTGTAGTGTGGGGCCCAAAACTGGACACAGTACTCCAGGTGAGGCTCACCAATGTCGAATCGAGGGATGTGATCGTTCCCCTCTATCTGCTGGCAATGCCCCTACTTATACAGCCGAAAATGCTGTTAGCCTTCTTGGCAACAAGGGCACACTGTTGACTCATACCCAGCGTCTCATCCACGGTAACCCCTAGGTCCTTTTCTGCAGAACTGCTGCCTAGCCACTCGGTCCCTAGTCTGTAACAGTGACTGGGATTCTTCCGTCCTAAGTGCAGGACTCTGCACTTGTCCTTGTTGAACCTCATCAGGTTTCTTTTGGCCCAATCCTCTAATTTGTCTAATGTAAGAACATACCACAAATTCTCTTCCTTTTTGAAATTCCCGTCCACTCTTCCATATTTTCAAATATATGAGAGGGAGGAGATAATCCTATATAATGAAGTGTTATTCCCCAACCATTGGGACAAGAGTTTCTAGGTGTGTAATGACAAACTTTTTGAGCAAAAGGAGGAAAATTTAAATGCTTTGGAAGTCCTGCTTTTCCCTGAACGCCAGTGGAATGGGGCACATTGACACCTAAAGCTGGAAGAGACAATCCTGCTAATTCCTCATAAATGACAGTGGAGGTCCATAAAGGTACAGGGAGCCACCAGAGCAGAACAGCTTGCAGGCACTTAGTTTTATAATTTGTAAAAAACTTCATTCTCATCATCACCTATTCTTGCTGTTTTGTTGTTGTTCTTCTAATTTGTGTTTCTTATGCAAAAATATCAAATCTCGCCTATCCTCTTTGTGTAGGTTTCTTGTCGGGATTGTTATGAGTGCTTTGAAAAAATATGCATATTTTTACCTTAAATACGATGCTTTTAATTTTATTTTTAAACAAGACTGCAAGTTAAATCAGTGTAATATAACTAGGATACTAAAAAAACAATTTGGGTAAAGAGAAATATTTTTTTGAACTTTTAAAAGATTCTGTGGTATCTGAATTTCAATTTAATGCTGCCACTTTGCAAAGTTCTCTGTTCAGTACCATGGCAGGTCTTGCACAGTGAGAATGAATTCTTATTCAGGGCTTATATCTGATATAAGAAATCCTTTTTTTTTTTTTTTTTTTTTGTTCAGCTAGCTATTGGTTTTGGAATTAAATTCATGGAGACCAGTGCAAAAGCGAATATTAATATAGAGAACGTGAGTATTGATTTTTTTTTCTCCTAGTACAGACTATTTTATATAGATTTGTACATAAAAGCAATAGGAGCATCTATCTATTTTGACTACATGATGTTAAATCCTATCCGTTATTGGCAATGGGTTTTTAGTTAACTTAGACGGTCTCATGGAAGTATTTTGCAAAGAGCACGTTCCACTATGTAAATTAAGTTAAAATAATTTTGTACAATCTTATCTGTATTTACTATGATTCTCTGCTTATTAAGAACATTTCTTCTGTCCATCCTGATGAATGGTTTTGTTATGAACCCCTCTGTGCTGGGCCATTGTGAATGTGTGTGAAATCTCTCACTGTGCCCTCCAAAGGTGCCACGGTTGGGGGTGTCTGGCATCCTGCTGCAGATTCTTCAGCTACTGATGGATTGACTTGAGCTGGTATATCCTTTCATGAGTAATCTGCACTAAATCAGCTTGTAGTAACTTTCAATGACTCTTGCACATCAAACCAAAGTTCTGTGGCTCAACAGTGGTCCTGGAGAGAGACACTTTCTCTCTGAAATCAAGAGTCCATTTTTTAACTGTTAAAGGTTTCCAAATGGTAGGTCACAAAAATATTCCTGGCTGAAAAGTTGACATTCACCAGTACTTCTTGGTTTTGGAGTTATGAAAGCAGCTTTTATTAAACAAACTTCCACATGTATAGGTAGCTAATAAAACACAAGTTTTAAATATGCTCTTACTTTAGGCATTTTTCACTCTTGCGAGAGATATCAAAGCAAAAATGGACAAGAAATTGGTGAGTAACTGTTACTGAGTCCAAGCCACTTGTGGTGTTTTGTTTTTTGTTTTGTTTTTTTTAAATCCCACTACAGTATTAAATTGACTAGAATATTTGTTTTTTGAGGCCTATTCCACTTAGGCACATTGGTGATGGCAGAAATTTTTTGTCAGTCCTCCAATCAACTCTCTGGGTGCTTTTTGAATACAAACAGATGGCTAATTCCTATAGCGTAAAGTCATAATTGAGATAGGTTTTTAAATAGAGATTCTCTAAAGTTGCTAATAAATCCTATTTTGCTTTACTGAAATTGTGGTGGGAGCTATAGCAAAGAAACTAATCATGGAAATCCCTCACTTAGAGGCCTTGTCTACAGTATGGGGGGAGATCGATCTAAATTATGCAACTTCAGCTACGTAAATAACATAGCTGAAGTCAGCATACATAGATCTACTTACCGTGGGGTCCACACTATGCTATGTCAATGGGAGACGCTCTCCCGTCGACTCCCCTTGTGCTTCTCGTTCAGGTGGAGTACAGGAGTCGACAGGAGAGTGATCTGCAGTCGATTTAGCGGGTCTCCACTCGAGCCGCTAAATCAACCGCCGATGCATCGATCGCCACATGTTGATCCCCCGGTAAGTGTAGACAAACCCTTACATTCTGATTGACTCATAGAAATTAGAAATGGGTGGAGGCCGATCAGGTTGTTCTGTACTGGACCCAGTGTTCTCCAAAATATTATCATGTAACCAGTTCTAGTTATGGGACTAGCTTCTGGGATTTTTATCCTCAAATCATGTTTCACCTGGTGCATTTCTAAAAATTTCCTTCACGCAACAGATGAGACTGCATGAATTTTGGTCTTATTTATTAACAAGTTTAACAAAGAAGCATTGTGTGACTTTTACTGAAACAAATTCCTATATAGGTTTGTTTTTTATAACGACCACCATGTGACATAGAAGTGGGTGCAGATATAACTGCTGTATTTGGGTCTTGCTGATGACTCATGTTTTAACGAGACCAATATAATAGTCGTGGATGCTTTCACCTCAATAGGCATTTGAATCCAGTAGGCGCATAAAGAATATGCACAGTCCATGTTTGGTTGAGCCCGGTTTAGCAGAATTCATTTTTTGTTGTTTTGTTTTGTTTTGTTTTGTTTTGATTTTGGGGGGGAGGGGGGAGGGAGCTGGGGGTTTTGTTTTTTGACCTGCTATAGGGAGCGTTTTGAATCCAGCTCAAAAGTAAAGTAATCTTGCAATCACTCTAGTTAAATATAAATAAATAACCTTTTAAATTCTTTTCATCTTTAGGAAGGCAATAGCCCACAAGGCAGCAACCAGGGAGTCAAAATCACACCAGACCAGCAAAAGAAAAGCAGCTTTTTCCGATGTGTTCTTCTGTGAGGGACACTGCCTTAACCTGAGCACTGCTCAATAGAACTGGACTGTGCCTGTTCTGAGTGAGATTTCCTCTGTGTGTGGATTTAACACTTTCAATATGTCGTGTCACACTGTGGCCATCAGAATAAGATTAAGAAATTGTTTATTTTAATAACTGTCTGACTCTTCAATTTTGGAGATGAAATTTTTTAAATATTTTTCTGTCACACCTTCCGCTTGGCATATGCATTGTTTAGGGAAGGCATACAGATCAAAAGTGACCTCCAATAGCACCTTTACTGACAAGCTTCACTCTCTGGGCGGGGGTTTATATCTAATGTGTCTAAAGTAGAAAAATTAAATGACTTTACACTGAAATGCCAACATTAATAAATTAATGGTATGTGTACATGATACACGCATATAAATGTCTATAGATACATAGAGCACAATCACTTCAAAACAACGAAAATGCACTTATTTTAAACAGTTACTTATAGCTTTCAAATGGTGGGTAGAAGCTTTCTGCATATCTATCCTTTTGGCTATCACAGGACAAAATCATTTTTGTCTGTACGTCACTAGTTCAGTTCCACCGTTCTAGACAATCCACCAGTAAAAATTAAATGAAACACAATGCCTCATCAGAAAGAGAGAAAATATCTATTTTTTTAGAGAACCAAAGTGTGCTGTAAATATAATAAATCCTTGATATGAGAAGTTTTGGAGGAAAAAACTTTATTTTCCCCATGTTAGGGAGGACCATCCATAATATATTTGTCGAATATCTAGGCATCTTTTAAATTGAGATAATTTTATTCTATACTCTTGTGCAAATGATCTGTGTTTCTAATCTGTTATCTATAGTTATAGGCCATGGTTCAAATATATAGACCACCTTATTCAAAAGTAACGATATAACTGAATAACACTATCATGGGCCGCATACGTTTTTAATTTCATAGTTGAGAATGACTTCAAACAAACCTTTCATGATTTAGTGGTTATTTCTAACTTGTGAAAACAAAAATGTATTGCATTGCTCCCGCATGAAAATGCACACTCCATATATTGACACTTTCTGAAAACTGGCTTTTTTTTTTTTTTTTTTTTTTTTTTTTTTTTTTTTTTTTTTTTTTTTATTTTTTTTTTTTTTTTTTTTTTTTTTTATTTTTTTTTTTTTTTTTTTTTTTTTTTTTTTTTTTTTTTTTTTTTTTTGGCTGAGATTTCTCTTGCTCCCATGCCATGATTGCTTAAGATTTAAAGTGGCAGTGAACTGTTTTAACTATGTATGGCAATGCAAACGATGAGGTACAGGAAAATTGTGGTGACCCTTAAAGAAAATATACTTCTGTGTATGTACGCTTTATACACATAGACACAACACATTCCAATATATAAAACTTAACAGCCAAGCAATTTTAAGCTCTTTTTATGCAGCTTTCAGGTTAATGGTTGTAAAACTGATTTTAGTTAACTAGATTTGAAAAGAAGCCAACAAGTGTAAGCTATTTAGAAGCTGCTCTTTCTGTCCGGTAACTGGCATAATGGTAAAAGAGCACATTTGAAGAGAATGAACGTATCAGCAATGTCCTGCAACTCACTGGAATTGTTAACATGTTTTGTTTACATTGACAACTGCACTTAAGGGAAAAATAAATTAAAGCTCATTTTAAAATTGAGTTTTTACTCCCTACCTCTGTTTCCTTGAAGTTTGCGTGAATATGTTCCAACCTCTTTTCTTGCAGTAGCTTTCACTAGTGTCACTAGAGTTAAAGGTCAAATACTAAAATATTTTATAATAATGTAACTAATTCTCCTACAGGCAAATATGAGCTCAGCCTTTTGGCTCAAACTGAATACCAAACGGAAACTAAAGCTTTACTCTCTTGCACACTTACCATGTAACTTTTTTAAATGGCTTTTTTTCTATGCTGTCAGCTACCCTTTGTCCAGTGTTGAAATGTTAAACTGAGCTAATTTTGTTCATTAAGCCATCTGCATGTAACATGCATATTCCAACAAGAATCAAGTAAGGATTGTATAGTATGAGGACTTGGCAAGCGTGCTGAATGATAGACTTCTCTAGAGTAAAATAATTCAGTTAATCATGCCTACATACGCAAACTAAAAAGATCCTTTGTATGTTTGCGTACAGCTAATACAGAGGTATAGGATGGACATGCAATGCTACGATGGTAGGATAAAGAAGCATTTTAAAAACATTCTAGGTAGTCATGAGCAGTTGGGGGTGGTTTAAGGGCAAGATGGTGGAACGGTGTTGACAAACAAGAGTCTCTAACATACATTTAAATATGTTAAAATGTTTAGTTTCTGTTTCAAAGCAGCGAATGAGGAATGTTCAGCCTCCATCCTTATACCCTGTGGTAGCTGGGTGTTGCGGTTCATGTTATACTTTGATTCGTGACTGTAAAATAATGGGCAGTCTGATACGCTATGCGACCTACAATTACATGGCATCCCATGCTACAGAGTTATCAGGCTTGATTTGGGAGGGAGGAAGGGAGTATTCACTTCCAAACAGAGGTTGAAGGATGGAGTTGTGATCTTCACTTTTCATTTTTCTAGATCTTAATGGCTTGTACGTTAGTCCTTTTTAATGTAAGTTAACATTTTTGTATGTGTATGTCCCATGTTTATGCAGGTGGTTGTACCTGTTTATATACCTACCTTACAGCATCATGATTTTTCTTTACAATGATTCTATTTTACTTAATTAACAATTATATTTTTGCTCAAACTCAGGAAGTTTCATGCAGTTAACTGTGATTTGCTGTCACCACTGTACATCTAGGATATATATAGACTTGACATAAAAGTTAAATCAATTTTAAGCAACATGAAGGCTGACATTCTAACATAGCAAATATATATAGTGAATTAATGTATACAGTTGGATACATGCTTTCCCTAAGTGCCGCTAAACACTGACAATGCTACATACAACTTGTAGCACTTTCACAGATCTTGGATAAATTCAGCATGTAGGTGGACACTTTCACTAGCACTTTCATAATTAAATTGGTATTCTAGAAAAAAGATGGTTTTATATCAACATGGCCAGAAGAAGCAACAAAAGAACAATAGCATATTCATTCATCACATATGTTCAACAGCTACTATTTGTACCACGCTTTTGTTTATACATGGAGGGCAAATCTCCATTTTTTGGTGTATCGAGTTTTGTAAAGCTTCGAAGAACTCATTCGTTACTTGAACGTATTAACGCACTTGCTGCAAAGCTTTAGGTGTTTTTAAAAACAACTAAAAATGCAGCAGTTACTCTAACAATTGACACTTGGCTTGCACAGAAACAAACCTACTTTTCGAGCACAAACTCAAAGACGTTATCTCAGTTGTCTTCATTTAATGACCATCACAAGACCTTGTGGTTGACTTGATCTTTGGTGGTGGTTGGAATATTTTCAGACTGGCCCACCCAAACAGAGGTCTCAGACTTTCAATACCCTATCTTTCAGTAATAAGTGAGGGTGCTTTTTAACGTGTTGTCACCTGGATGTGCACTAAATGTGGTCACCTGAGTGCACTCAATGTTTAGCAACATCAGAGCCTTACGGCAGCACCAGGCTTTCAGCCTCAGATTTATGAATCCTATGGATTATTTTAGTCTCCTTACTGCTGCTGAGAAACATTTGGTCCCTCCCTTTAGGTGGGATGTTACTAACAACTTCTGTTTACTGTTAGGGTGTTCTTTCCTCTTACTTTCTCTGGCTGATACTAGTGCCCAGAGGCCACCATGGTTTAAAGGTGTTCTCTAGGACTTGAAACAGTTGGGTGGTATACTGAAGAAGAGACTGGCAAAGAGCTGCTTGGAATATGATCTTCATTTGTACAGGATGTTTATAGGGGGATATGGAAGAACTGACCAAGGCACACAAAAAATTTGTGATCATTCCTAGACATTGCAAAGACTCATCCAAATGAATGCTGTTGGGTAGCGTGCAGTCTGATTACTGCAGGGTGACTTGCTCCATGACTAATTTTTTCAGATGATCATGGTGGGTGGGTGAATAAGGTAGATTGGCAGGCTGGTCTCTCTCCAGCCCTTGCTGCAAGAATTATATACTCCCAATAGAGTGTCGGTCAGGGGTTTAGTGTGACTTGGTCACTAAGGAAAATCTAACCTCATTCATACCAACTCTTAAAAAACCTGGAAACATTTTTCTTTCAGTGTTTTTTAGGATGACCACTGTTGGCTGCTCCCGCTGTGACAATGCCTTTCTTAAAATGCACTCATTGGTTTTCATGTTTGTATTTTTAAAAGCTGTTATGTTTATTATGTGGTATTTGTTTTTACTCTGTTGTACAGGACCCTGAACATTGCATAAATAAATTTCTTATGAAAAGAGCAGAACTTTTTTCTTTGGTTTCTGCCAGTTCTGTTCATCTTCCATGTATAGCTTCCTAAGTAGAAAATAAGGTATTTCTTCCATTAGAGAGAAGGGGCAAGAACTTGGTAAGTTCTGGTTTGGTCTCAACTCATTTTTTTTTTTTTCCCTTTAATTTCCAGTCGTCTGTTGAAAAAACACCCAGTGTTGCTCTTCTGAGATAACAGTATCTAGCATAAAGATGCTTAGCAACAAGGCTCATTTTACTGCAGAATCGAGTTGACTACTTCCAGTTTTATTGGACCAACATCTGTTGGTGGAAGGTTACAAACTTTCAAGTTACTCAGATCTCTTCTTCAGGACTGTGTAGCTTGAAAGCTTGTACCTTCCACCATGTTGGTCTAATAAAAGATATTATCTCACCTACCTTGTCTCATATCTTGGGGACCCACAAGACTACAACAACACTGCAATACAATTTTTTTATTCTGTGTATTCCCCTACTCTAGCACCCACTCTTGCATTTATTTGGGAAACTGCCATAAATGATGATTACTTAATTTTGTTGAAACTACCACACAATTAAAAAGTTACATTATTTCACAGCTTTCAGTAATCATACAGTGCCGCTTGCTGGGTGATACAGGTGGTGCTACTAATGTGTGGTTGATGCTTATTAAAATCCTAGATAACTTTGTTCTGAGTCAGCCTCTCCAGACACTGCTCCACTTAAGTGACACACAGGAGGGCTCTTGAGTGCTGAGAAACCGCAGACCTGCAGTAGCAAAGGCTGGATACAGAAATAGAGCTTGAAAAGAGATGCAGGACCAGGAATTCCCCTCCCTTGATCCCTCAGACAGGCTTTTAAAGTTGTTTTATTAATGAGAAAATGAGCTAGTATGTGGTGCTCGGCATTCCAGGCTGCATCCCTGCTTTCATTTTCTAATGTTAACTTGAGCCATTATTTATATTCAGGGTCCCCAGTATTCAGTGATGCTGTAGCAATGGAATTTGCCATGGAATTATGCTCCAGAATCACTTTTTTTTAATTAAAAAAAATGGGAAGCAATTGTAATAAATGCAGTGATGTCTGCCTGAATCTGTGGACAGGCTGAACCAGTAGCTGTAAGGGGGATGTGAACTGCCCCATTCATCTCAACAATGTTTATCAAAAGCTAACAATTATAATTTGTCAATTTAAAAAAATATTTAATTGGCCACTTTAACAGAAACATGCAGCAAATGTGCTTATCCCACAGCCCTAAACAATCTTCCATAATTCCCCAGCTGTCCCCTAACCAGCTCCCCAAACCCCCAGCTTCACTCCTGACTTCTGCAAAGCAATTAAGCATTTTCAATACAAAATTTTGCAGCACATCAAAAATTTACCCTGTCCTTGCATTTTTAAATTAACGAAATTTAATACCAAATTAAATAACACAAGAAGGTTGTTCCAATTCAATTATTCATTTTCACATATAATTCTGTAAAAAAAAAAAAAAAAATAAAAAAAAATAAAATCCAATTTTACATATATCTGAAGCAAAGACCAAATTTTCAGTCTACTGCACTAGAACACCGCAGATTCCAGGCTCAGGTTCCTGCAGGTCACAGAGCACATAGGGTCCTCTTCATAGCCTTACTCACTGTTGTCTACTTTTTTTCTTTTCAGGAGAGTGATTAAAATACTGATTATGAAGAATTGTTTTCTCACAGAGTTATTTTAAATAATTATATGAGTTGTGCAAATTTCTTAGTGGCTTTGCTCCCTGAGAATCTGACTGAAACCAGCGGCTGCATTTCAGGGTCCACGCTAGCACAGCAAACTATTCCAGGAAATAGAACAACAATGCAACTTAATCTTCCAGCAGATCAGGAAGCTCCCCCACTCCCACCCAGGACAGTGGCACCCAAATGATCCTTCAACATTAGTGACAAAGAACCTTCTTCAACACAAACTGATCATCTTAGCTGCAGTTTGAATGGACTTTATGCTCCAGTTATAGAAGAAATGAAGTCTGAGTCAAATAGAACTAGTAAGTAAGATAGTCTAATTACAGATATTAAATCTATCAAATTTCAAGTTCTTGTTTAAAGCTTTTTGTATTTACAACATGCAAACAAAACAAACTATTGATAGAACAATCTGAATTGAGCTATCAATGGAGAAAACATCTAAACTAATGGAAAACAATCTGTAAAACAACAGAACAATCTATAATGGATTAGGAAGAATATACTGGGATATTTAAGGAGGATCATGGATTAAGATTGAATTTACCTTTAGATACAATAAAAGATGCAAATTCGTATCCAAATAAATATATATTTATATTTTGTAACATCTTAAAGCGTTAACCTTCAGCGGCATCTGTGGAGCAATTCCACTTAATCTTGGAGGATTTCTCTAGCACTAGAAAAAGCTAAAGGATGGCTTTTAAAGTGAAGTAGTCAGATAAAGACTTGATAGTAGTGTACCAGGTAGGATAGTCTATTTGCCTAACACATTGCTGGAAAGCTATACACCTCTACCCCGATATAACGTGACCCAATATAATACGGGTTCTCATACAACGCGGTAAAGCAGCACTCCGGCGGATCAGCGCATCAGCTCCCAGCCGTGGCGCTCCGCCTCTCGCCGATGTGTTGGGGAAAGGATGCCCCCCCCATACTCACCTGCAGCGGGAAGCGGAGCGCCACGGTTGGGAGCTGACGGAGTGTTGCGGGCTGGGGTTGGGCTGCTCAGCTTCCACCACTGCTGGTGAGTGCGGGACCTTTCCCCAACACACACACACACACACACACACCCCAGCGACACGGCTAGGGCAAGGAAAGTGGAGCGGGCTGGGGCTGCAGTGCTCTGCTTCCCGCTGCAGGTTGAGTACGGGAGGTGTCCTTTCCCCAACCTCCCCGCACTCACTGGCAGCGGCGGTCAGGGGACAAGGAGCAGGGAGGCCAAAGCAAGTTCACTATAACGCGGTCTCACCTATAGTGTGGTAAGATTTTTTGGCTCTGGAGGACCACGTTATATCAGGGTAGAACTGTATATTTTTTGTAAGTTCTTTTTAGGGCCTGGCTCTCTCTGAACTACAAAAAATAGTTTATTCTGAAAATGACAGCATGTTGTGCTACATGTATACTCCATTACCGCATTACAGATCAGATCTGCTCAGGCTGTAAATCAAAACAAGACTTTTTTTTAAATATTTTATTGGCAAAAAAACCACTTCTGCTAAATTACAGTTCATCAGGATTTCCCTTTGTATCTTCTAAAGATTTAAATGAGACAAAACAAGACTTTTCCAACTTGCTCTTCAGAGTCTGAAAATCCTTATTTGGTCCTCTTTATTTCTTTCATATGAACAGTAACCCCAAGCAAAATAATTCTGAAAGCAGGTGGTAATGACATATTGCAGACTCAAGATGCAGTTCTCATCTCTCTCTCTCTCTTTCACCAGATTCAGATTCGAATGTGAAATGTACTATTTACCAAAAAAAAAAAAAAAAAAAATCAGTTATGTGTGGCTTTTCATCTGTAGATCTAAAAACACTTCACTAAGGCTGAATAAACTAACAGCTGAAAGCCAAATGCTAGGACTGTGTTGCAACTTGATGATTGTTTCATAGACACATTTTTTGGTACCTGGTATTTTTGTGTAACTGAAACACTTCATAGGATAAGACAGAAGTCAGAAACTGAGTCTGGAGAGAAAAGTATAATTGAGTGTATGCTGAATAGTAGTATTTATGAACGGTAATTCAATGTAGTGTGTGACAGAGATCCAGTCATCCTTAACTTGGGCACACTTTATTTTATTTTCTGGTTTGGGGATAAGAATTTAAAATGCTGAAGTTTGAAGAATCTTATGATATAATTAAAATTTCTTTAATTTTAAAAGACTGTTTCCATTGCAGTGTTGCCAACTCTTCCAAATCTATCATGAGTCTCTCAGTATTTTGTAAATCCCATCTCCTGGAGTCATGAGATTATGTGAGAATCTCCTCTCTCTCTCTCTCTCTCTCTCTCTTTATATATATATATATATATATATATATATATATATAAAATAAAATTTTCAAGCAAGTTTCTAGTACTCCTGGGTGTGGAGAAAAGTTGTAAAACATGGTCTGCGGTTCAATAAACAAAAGACAAATAAAAACCCAAAGCATTTTTTAATCTTGTTAATTTGGGGAGATGGGGGTTGACTCATGTTTTTTGAATGGTTAAGGTTGGGAATAGTGGCACTGACTGTCAGACAGGGAAGTTTTTAATTTGCAAGTGCTTGTAAACCATGTGCTTGTAAAGGGCCTCTGATAGAAAGTAAGGAGGATTTCCCTATGTATAACAAGGCTGCTGTTACCTGAGGAAATCAGGAGCTCGTACTATCATGTGCTGAAAATCTTCCACAGAGAGTCTGCCATCATTGTCTTGATCAGCTTCATCAATCACCTTATCACACACAAGACAAACCTCCTCTGGGGTAAGTTCATTTCGGGTCAGTTTGTTAACAGTTTTCTCCAAGTCTGATTTGCATATGTAATCATCATTGTTAAAATCTGTCAAAGGAAACAGAATTAATAAATTCAAAATTACAAGAGCTGTCCTCTACATGTCTCTCAGCCAGCCCCACAGTGAAAAGCTGTGTGTGTGACTCATTACCAAATCCCAATACCTCTGAATAATGGGACTCCCAAATAGGATTTTAGAATTGTACACTCGCAATTTTTAATTTGCATTTATAAAATTACTTAAAAGGCACTGTAATGGGGCACCTGCCCCGCACCGGCCCTGAGAGGGTTAAAACCAGCCTAGGGAGGCTGAGGGGCAGGCAGCCAAAGGAGTGGCTGCAGGGGAACAGCCTATTAGGGTGATTGCTGTAGATAATTAGGACGGTGGCTGGACCAGCCAATCAGGGCTCTGCCAGCCCATATAAAAGGAAGCTACAGACCAGAGCCAGTAAGTCTGCTGCAGGGGGCTCCTGATGGGCGGTCAGGACTTACAGCCCCCCCAGCCACTGAAGGAGCGGCCTGGCTGTGGACTGCCAAGCCACTGTGAGGAGTGGCTGGGCTCTTGTTGGAGAGAAGAAGGGGGGGAAAAACAGATGGTGACACAGCCAGAGGACTGTGCCACGAAGCAGACGGTGAGAGAAAGAAGCTGTAATGGGCCTGCAGGGAGAGGCAAGGGTGGGAGCCACCACCAACCGAGGGTGCACCTGCTGGGACAGAGCTAATTCCCAAAACACCCAGCAGGAGGTGCCAGTGTGTGAGTGACCCGGTGACAGACACCCATCCACAAACTCTGCATACTCAATCATATAGATCCTAAATAGCTTCACCAGTACAGAGTTTACCATGGTGCCAGGCCCAGAGTCAGAAGGGGCCCCAGCCAGCCTGATCCCCCTGGCTGGCTGAGCCAGCCAGGAAAACTGCCTCCACCCTTGCCCTGCCTCTTCCCACCCCTGCTCTGGCCCCCTGTCCACCCCTTCCCCCCCTCAAGCTCCCTCCCCTGAGCTACACGTCCCTGGGGACTGCAGCAGGGGTCGGGCCCGCCCTGCACTCACTGGGTGGTGGGAAGTGGAAGTGCCCCAGCCTGCTCCACTCCACTGGCTCCTAACCACGCCGCTGGTGAGTGCTGGGGGGATGGTTCCCCCCCCTTCCCCCCGAGCCCGGGGAGCAGAGTGTAGCAGGCTGGGGCCGGGTCACTCCACTTCCCACCGCTCCATGAGTGTGGGGTTGGGCCCACCCTGCAATCACTGGGCAGCAGGAAGTGGAGCGACCTGGCCCCAATCCGCTCTGACAGCTCGTGCTTGGGGGGTGGTTCTTCCCTGCCCCGCGAGCCTGGGGAGGAGATGGAGCGGTGGGGAAGGGGCATAGGATGGGGAAGAGAAGAGGAAGTGGGGGCTGGGGGAATGAGGTAGTGGGGATGAAGGGGGTGGGGAGAAGAAGCGGCAGTGGGGAAGGGGAAGGGGATGGGGAAAGTGGGGGCCCAGGATGCAGCATCCCCTTGGCAGAAGCTGGGGCTCCCCTGTTAAGCAGGCCCATCGAACCCTCACCCTGACAAGCCCCACCTCCCCTACATCTGTACCACCCTGATGAGCCCCCCCCAGACACCCTCCCCACTGAGCCCCCAACCACCTGTACCTGGACCCCCACCCAAATGAGCCCCACCTCCCCTGCACCTAGACACTCCCATCCCCGCTGAGCCCCAAACACCTTCACCTGGACCCCTGCAGAATCCCATTGCTCCTGCACCTGGAACTCCACAATGAGCTTCTGTGCATCCAGCTCTCCCACTAAGCCACCTGCACCCAGATTGCCCCAGAGAGAACTCTCTTACCCCCACCTGGATCCCCCCACACCAAGTCCCTCTGCACTTGGATCCTGCTTCTGGGCTGAGCCTGCTCACCCCACACCTGGTGCGCCTGACACAGGGGGGCAGGCCCCCAGGGTGTTTCTGGGGCAGGCCTGGCCCTTGCACTGTGTCAGGGTTGGGTGCAGCCTCACTGCCGCGTCCCTGTCCTGGGGTGGGGTGGGGGGAAGGCTGCAGGGTAATCTCCCACCTCCATGCAACCAGTGGCCTGTGCTCCCCACTGCCATGTTGGAGCCTCCACATTTATTTGACATAAAATTTGCAGAATTTTAAAATATTGTGCACAGATTTTTTAATTTTTTGGTGCAGAATCCCTGCAGGAATATGGGGTGCTGTGATGGTGGGACTGTGAGGAAGGTGGTGGGCAGTGGGGAGGTCTATGGGCAGGGGACGCTGGGTGAGCGGTGTGGTGTGCAGGGTGCTGCAAGTTGTGGTGAGAGGCCAACAGGGGAGGTCTCTGGGAGGGGTGGGGGCTGGGCAGAGAGATCTGTGGTGGAGGTCTCTGAGCGAGGGGGCGCTGGGCATAAGGGTGGGGCACTGGGCAGGGGAGCGGTGTGGTGCGGGCCCGCCCTGAAGGGGAAGGGGCATGCTGGCAGCAGAGGGCTGGGCAGGCCAGTGTGCGTTTGGCAGCCGCAGGTTTGTAAACAGTGCCCTGCTGCTGGGCTGCGCAGAGCGGGAATGCTCCCGCCACGCTGTGCCTCATTGCCCCCAGCCCGCCCTTCACTCTGGAGACTGACCATCCTGCCCCCCAGCACCTTGCCCCATGGAGGCCCAGAAATATATCTGGGGCGGGGCCCACAAAAAGTTAATCCGTCCCTGAGCTTCACCCCCTAACAAAATCCCCCCATAATCAGAATAGCAAACTAATATTAATGAACTAAATGAATAATAAAGCACAGTTAAAGAAACTGTTTGATTTCCTTCCCGCCCCCCCATGCTAAGTCACTTCCACTTAAGAGTGCAAAAACAGAACTTGCTGTTCTGTTTGTATTGCATAATAGATTGTTCGGCTTTTGTTGAAATTGAAAGAAAATTCAACTGAAAACAATATTACAAGAAAGACTAAACTACTCCTGTTCTTAAAATTGCCCTATGAGAAACTCTGATATAAGGCAAGGCTTTTCAAAGGACCCCATTGGAGTTGGGTCAGACAGAACTTTTCCAATCAGCCTAATAGTTTTTTCTTAAATGCTGCTTCCTCTAATCATGAGGATTGGAGATGAAATAACTGCTTTGGATGAAGCACCAGGAATTCTCCAGCAGATGTCAGACTCTGATCAGTTGCACCCTCCAATCCCAGTAAAACCAGATCAGAGCCACTCAAGTGCTTAATTAAAGAAAATTTTAAAAGGGGAAGGAGAAATACCAGGAGAATCTAACAAGAAAGGATTAAATGGCAAGACAAAACTAATTAAAAATGTGTATGTGCCAGAGGATGTAGGACCTGCCAGCTTGTTTTATGGTAAGAAAAATTTAAAAGTCACAACCTAGCTATCTGCATCCAGCAGAGATGGAAACTCAGTATATGCAGCAGGAGAATGGGAGCCAGCTACTATAGAAAGGAACCATGGAACAGATCAAAAGTTGATCATCGTATTTAATCTAAAGAGAGAAATCCCTGGGGGTTTTGACATACCAGCATTGGAGACATTCTTGGTGGATGGGAACTCCCAGAGGTAAGTAGGAAACAAGTCATGTCTTCCACTCTCCTCCATAGCTCCCCACCCCCTCAATGGGATTTCTGGTCAAAGACACCACTGTTAAATGTTATTGAAATCTTACATGGATGGGTTAAAGTACTCTACCATGCGAGATGCATGGATGGCCAGGAAGTGCATATCTGAACATGCCAATTAAGCCAGTCAGGAACCCAGAAGTCCTGGACATAGCAAAGTAGTTGGTACTGGATAGCAAGTACTGATGTCAGGTTGACCAGAGTAGTCAAAGGACAGAATTGTTTTCATAATATGTAGGTTTCTCTGAAACTAAGCTAAAAAGGCCATATCTAGTTTAGCTTATGAGAAGTGTAAATCTTGATATGTTAAGCAAACTGCTTCTTTTAATTCCATTTCCTCTGTTTTTAAATCAATCTTGATTTTGGTCATGATTATTCGTCACGAACGATTACTGGTGATCACTCATGATTACTGGGTAATGTCACACAGTCCATAGAGAAAAGAAAACCTTGTAATTGCTAAGGCGAGGTACTGCTGATTGAAGAATTTATAGAACCTACATGTCCTTCTCAGGCTTGGGCTACAGTTTACCAGTATAACTCTTTCAATTAGGGGTGTGTTTTTTTTTGTTTCCAGACACTCTCTTATACCGTTAAATAGTAAAAGCCTTAGGTTATGTGTACATTGTCCCGCAGTTCAGACTATGGGGATGTGCACAACCGTGCACACCAAAGTCCTGCACTGTAACTCCCCTGTGTGGACATTGTGGGCGCAAACAATAAGTTTCCTAGTAGCCCTGTTTGAAGAGGATTATGTTAACGTGAACTAGGAACATTTTAGTTCATGCCTGCAGCAGCCACACAGGGGAATTACAGCACAGAACTTCGATGCATATTGCTGTTCACACGCCTGTAGTCCAAACTGTGAGGTAGTATACACAAGCAACTAATATGGACAGACTTATACTGGTATAAAGCTGACTTATACCATGATGACTGTTCCCCTTCTTTTACGGGAACAAGTTATGCTGCTATAAGCACTTTTATATTGCTATAACTCTGTCTCTGGAGAGACCAGGGGTTGGGGGAGGGAATACATTTTAACTACACTAGTATAGGTTTCCAAAAGGGCCTATATGGGATAAGAACGATGTGTATTCAAACAAATTCTTTAAATGGAGGTTGTGCATTACCACCATGGTCAGTTCTCAAAGTTTCAGGCTTCAGCAAATTCTTTAGGTTCTGTTATGAACCCTCCAATAAGAATATAAGAACGGCCGTACTGGGTCAGACCAAAGGTCCATCTAGCCCAGTATCCTGTCCACTGACAGTGGCCAATGCCAGGTGTCCCAGGGAGAGTGAACCTAACAGGTAATGATCAAGTGATCTCTCTCCTGCCATCTATCTCCACCCTCTGACAAACAGAGTCTAGGGACACCATTCCTTACCCATCCTGGCTAATAGCCATTAATGGACTTAGCCTCCATGAATTTATCCAGTTCACTTTTAAACGCTGTTATAGTCCTAGCCTTCACAACCTCCTCAGGTAAGGAGTTCCACAAGTTGACTATGCGCTGTGTGAAGAAGAACTTCGTTTTGTTTGTTTTAAACCTGCTGCCTACTAATTTCATTTGGTGACCCCTAGTTCTTGTATTATTGGAATAAGTAAATAAGGAAAAGTTATCTACTTTCTCCACATCACTCATGATTTTATATACCTCTATCATATCCCCCCTTATCTCCTCTTTTCCAAGCTGAAAAGTCCTAGCCTCTTTAATCTCTCCTCATATGGGACCCGTTCCAAACCCCTAATCATTTTAGTTGCCCTTCTCTGAACCTTTTCTAGTGCCAGTATATCTTTTTTGAGATGAGGAGACCACATCTGTACGCAGTATTCAAGATGTGGGCGTACCATCGATTTATATAAGGGCAATAATATATTCTTCGTCTTATTCTCTATCCTCTTTAATGATTCCTAACATCCTGTTTGCTTTTTTGACTGCCTCTGCAGACTGCGTGGACATCTTCAGAGAACTATCCACGATGACTCCAAGATCTTTTTCCTGATTTGTTATAGCTAAATTAGCCCCCATCATATTGTATGTATAGTTGGGGTTATTTTTTCCAATGTACATTACTTAACATTTATCCGCATTAAATTTCATTTGCCATTTTGTTGCCCAATCACTTAGTTTTGGGAGATCTTTTTGAAGTTCTTCACAGTCTGCTTTGGTCTTAACTATCTTAACCTCTCGAGGTCCCTTCCAGTCCTAGAATCTATGAATCTTGAGCAGTTTAGTATCATCTGCAAACTTTGCCACCTCACTTTTTACCCCTTTCTCCAGATCATTATGAATAAGTTGAATAGGATTGGTCCTAGGACTGACCCTTGGGGAACACCACTAGTTACCCCTCTCCATTCTGAGAATTTACCATTAATTCCTACCCTTTGTTCCCTGTCTTTTAACCAGTTCTCAATCCATGAAAGGATTCTCTTTTATCCCATGACAACTTAATTTACATAAGAGCCTTTGGTGAGGGACCTTGTCAAAGGCTTTCTGGAAATCTAAGTACACTATGTCCACTGGATCCCCCTTATCCACATGTTTGTTGACCCCTTCAAAGAACTCTAATAGATTAGTAAGACATGATTTCCCTTTACAGAAACCATGTTGACTTTTGCCCAACAATTTATGTTCTTCTATGTGTTTCGACTAATTTGCCCGGTACTGACGTTAGACTTACCGGTCTGTAATTGCCGGGATCACCTCTAGAGCCCTTTTAAAATATTGGTGTTACATTAGCTATCTTCCAGTCGTTGGGTACAGAAGCCAATTTAAAGGACAGGTTACAAACCCTAGTTAATAGTTCCGCAATTTCACATTTGAGTTCTTTCAGAACTCTTGGGTGAAAGCTATCTGGTCCCGGTGACTTGTTAATGTTAAGTTTATCAATAACTGAGGGCAGCTCGACAGACATTTGAGGCTTGGTCTACACTAGGAACGTATGTCAGTATAACTATGTCACTCAGCCATATGGAAAATCCACATCCCTGAACGACAGAGTTGTACCAACACCCACTCACCCCCCTGCTGTAGACAGCATTGCATTGATGGGAAGGCTTCTCCTGCTGACATAGCTACCGCCTCTTGGGGAGGTAGAGTACTTACACCAACATGAGACGCTCACCCATTGGTGCGGGTAGCGTCTTCACTGAAGTCTTCACTCTTCACAGAGTTGTACATGTAGACCTGCCCTAAGAGAGATGACCCCCTTGGCTGTGATGATGAGGGCCATCTAAGTACCAAAGTACATACACAGACCCAACTGAGATGGCAGTTTGCAGTGCACATCTTAAGTGCTCTTGCATCAAGGAACCTTGAGTCAAATACAGCACCAGGATTACCTCCAAACTTTACTATCTATGCCTGTTTCACTCACCATAAATTTTAAAGGCATAATAAGCTTTGAGGTCTCTGGGAGCCATTTCACTCAGGACTGAAAACATGTCCAAAAAGTCATCTAAAGTCATGTTGCCCTCTCCATCCTCTGAGAAAACTTCTGCTATCCGTTGACGGAATGGATTGTCCTGTGGAACAGGGATGCAGGATAAAACGGGTCAGTCTTTACTATCATTTATGTCAAGGCATTTGACGGACTCAGTAGTAGCCAAGCTCTAGTTTTGCCCCCTCTTTATTTTAACCCAGGTGTGGCAGACAAACACCCCCTTGCTCTGCTACTCTTTTATGTACTGAGGCTGACTCAGAGACCAGCTTCAGCATTCTCTACTCTACATGGTGCTTCAAAATGTTTTCAAAGAAAACTACTGGAAGCTTCCAGAAGGATGTTGGAATTAGAGAGCTATTCGCCAGGGAGCCAGGATTCAGATATCTTTCAGCCTCCTGGTAATTAGTACAGGATGAATTATTTAGCAGAAGAGGAGGAAAGTGAAATGTGGCTCCCCATCTAGCATCTGTGTTCCTTGGACTGTACCTTCAGCTCTGCCATGCTGCCAATGAGTTCATAGGGAAGCTTCACATCTGGTTTATCTATATAGCTAAGTGGGACCAGCTGTGGGGCCAGGTCTCGGTATCTGTAAAACAGTCTGGAAAGGGAAGGAAAGGCTCATTTAGGGCTCAGTATACTCATGGCTCTAATAACAACGTTTGTCTTTTCAATATTGCTCTTTTTATACTTCACATCATTTAGCAGGGTGGTTACATGTAAATGTCACATAGGATGCTTGATGAAGGGAGAAACATAGTGTGAAATATACTTCTTATATTATATATTAACCAGAAAAGTTATTTTCAGTGTTACATAAAAAAGAAGGGGGTGAAAAGGTCTGTTCAAGAACTAGGCAGCTGTACTATGGGAAACAGAATGACAGAAGCAGTTTTCTAACGTTATTTAGTAAATTACTACTGCCCCAGTTATGCTTCCATCTCACTTCTGCTAGTCTGACATCGCTCTATCAGCAGCCATTTTTTACATGATTGTATTACTGAGAGGAACAGCCTTCAAAGTTCTCAATGCTCTAAGACTAATCCAGCTAAAATTCCACACTGGAGAAAATAAAATAACATAAAACAGTATTTCTAACTATCTGGATTATTACTACTAAGCCAGCAGCCTACAATTGTCCACCCCTCATCCCCCCCACCCCCCAATATCCACCACAGGCACCTTAGCGCTTTGCTGACACTCACTGTAGACTTTCATCTTGAGAGACCAGAGCGTGCTCCCTCACACTCTCATGCACCTTCACCTCCAGTGCACCAGATGCAGTTCAGCTGACTGGGGAAGGCAGGCCAGGAGTCTGGAATCCCCTCAGAGGATACACAGCCCCTTCAGACTAGGAGCCTCCTTCTGGTGGGGTGCCAGCTGGGGGAGCAGGAGGTGGCTCTGCTACTGCACTGTCCTTCCTGAAGAGAGAGAATCTAACTAGGATAGAAACTACAGTACTGCAATCTTTAGATGGCTGTAACAGCTGCAGAATGGCTCTCCCGCTGCTATGAAGCCTCTAGGAAAGGATTCCTCTAGCCCCATCCCTATACAATTCCCCTGGTCAAGTCCCTGTGCTTGAAATGGGGTTTGCCCCCCTATTGCAGCAATATAACAGGCTCAGTGCCTTGTCAGATTGAAAAGATTTCTATATTCATGAGTCATAGAAGGGCAAATTAAGCCAAATCCTGTCTCAGTTCAACTCTATCTGACTAAACCTAGGAACAAAACAGGGTCAGATCTCTGGACTCTAGTCTGCTTTCACTCTGCTTTTCTCAGATGAATTCTAAGGGAAAGGGAAGCTTGTAGGTGTTCTGCACAGTTTTTTCCCCTGTGCCTGCAGTGGCACCTCAATCTGTGTTTTAGTTTCTTGAGCAGTCCTTGTTCTCCGCAGGTCCTTGTTCCCTGGATAGAGAAAGTTAATAAAGGCAAGAGATGGCCAAGTTGTTTTTACTAAAAACAAAAGAAAAAATAACAAAACAACCCCCCCCACACACACACTTTTTGTCTTTTAAGTCCTTCTCAAGATATTAGTCACCAGTAGCCTTTTCCATGTACCTCTGCTTCCCAGCTAGCCACCCAGGCATTAGTACCCCTGCCTGAAGGCTGCCTTACTTGGCAAGTGTATCTCCAGTTTATGGCCAAAAGAGCTGCCTCATATCCACATGCATAATCCATACTGGGATGTATGTGAGCAAATGCTGCTCATGGCTCTGTGCGACCATGAATTCTGAGTGAAGCTCTTCTTAGTGATCCCCTCCTAGTGAACAAGGTGATGCAGAGGAGAGAGGGAAGAGCTGCTGGGTTAGAAAAGAGCTGTAAACTAATTCTACAGACAGTCTTCTCAGTAATATTTCATTCCAGCTCCCATTGAAGTCAAGGCCTCTTATTGTGGTTTTAAATATGGATTTAGGTGCCTAAATGAAGGCACACAACTTTAAACATTTTGGATGTAATAATGACTCATAGATTTTTAAGGTCAGAAGGGATCACTGTGATGCAAATAAGCAATCTTCAAAAGATCTCAGGAGAATTAAGAATGGGGTGCAATAATGGAAATATTTTATGCCTACCTTGCCTTTGAAATGAGCAGACCTTTTCCCCCTGCAAAAACAAACAAGCAAACCCACAGGTGCTAGGAATAGAGAACACCTCCAGGACCATCTAGTCCACCCAGTGGTAGGAGTGTCCTCTACCCTAATCTCTTAGGCTTCCTTAGATACCTGCTAAAATTTCCCTTCCTTTTTTCTCAGCTTTAAGGTTTAAAAAAATGGGCTTGTTGTACCCTTCAAATGTGGGACTTCATCCTGCCTTTTGTTGCCCACCCAAACCTCCCACTGATTTTGTTAGGACTCAGAACTAAGAAAGGGAGAAGATCTATAAAATGACCTCAAAAAGTGTTCATTTTTCTCAGTGCTATTTACTTCTATTCTTGCACTAGACTGAGGAGACCATTCACAGTTGTCACCAATTAAAATGGTATCAAACAATGGGACAGAATTTTCTAAAGGGTTTCCTATCAATAATAAATGCCTTATTCATGATATAATTATGGCCTTGGCCTCTATTCAATACACAAAGACACAAACAGCTTAGGTTTAATTTATTACAGATGTTCACTTCATTTGCATTTTGTGCTGCACAGCACTCATAAACAGAGACCAGGGTGGGCAGCAATAGGAGATCACAGTCTGCTGTAGAAGGGCACTCTACTTTCCAAAGGAATTGGCACACTAATGTTGTGCAGTGACAACCTAAGAAAGGGGCAGGTGCTGGAAGTGTTTCTGCTGATTAATTTGCTGCATGGTAAATGAGAACCAAAAGCTGATTTCCCCATGCAAACGGTTGTCCACTACATCAGCAGAATACACTACTATTGTGTGCCAGCACCTGCAAAAGTACACTGTGGTACCACTAGGAGAGGAGACCAGGTTCAGGTTGCAAATTAGGACTCTTGATCTCTCAGCCAATGAGGCATATAATGTATTACAAAAATCACTAAGCCCTTCCTCCTCACCCCCTTGTGCCCAGGTGACTAAAGATCAAATGAATTGGCCAATATGTACCACTTACTGGGAAGAGGTCCTAAAATTTCTGGAAATGAGCGATTCAGGCTAACCCAGGCCTTGTGCTCCAATGAGGCACCAGGCTTCAAAATATCACCACAGCTTTTCACATAGAAAGTCCCAGTGGGTGACATCATGTCGTCTCAGCAAAAGCTTTTAGGCTACATGATTACTGTGGAATCATTTTTGTGAAATAATTTAATCCCTAATCTTGTTTCATGGGACTTGGGGCTTGCAAAAAAGTCTCAGGAAAATATCATAAATGCAGCTGTAAAAAGTGACAGAAAACAATAGATGCTCTGGAGACAGCACTATATTGCCAGGACAAAATTAAAAGCTTTCACTTTAGCTTTTGCTCTGTTTTAATAGACAAAATGAGCCAACAAAAGTCATGGAAAAGAGCATGTTACAGGGTCAAAGCAGAATGATTTCAAAGCTAGAACAATCCTGCGTTTGTAAAGAGATGAAACAGAGGCTCTAATTACATTTTTATAAATCTAAGAAATTATAGTTACCATTAAAAAAACTAAATCTGCATGGCACTAAAATATTTCTTAGGTTACACTATAAAGACAATAGAACTACTGGGAAAATATTTAACCAAATAGATGGCATATGCCAAGGGTAGCAATATTCTGTGTATCACTTGTTATAAAACAAGATAGTGGGGCATGGGGCCCTCTGGTAGAGTATTTAGTGAAATACTTAAATGTAACTTGTTATAGTGTTTTGGGTGGAAGTGGCTGGCATGTTAATTGAATTATAGATTTTTGTCTTAACTAAAGACATTGAACATGATTTTTCTGCATGTGTGTATACACTCTGCTGTTATCCATCACAATGACGCCATATTAAATCCTACTTAAAACATATTAAAAAGATTACTAAGATCACTAGATGAGTGGCCTGACTTTATTATAATCTCCTTATAGTTTTACAGACAAAAAATAGACGCACCTCAGAATTTCTTTCCTTGTAAAGAATGTGCAGTCCTGTAAAATATGGAAAGATATAAAATGTGGTGGTAAATTTTTTTTTTGTTTTTAAACACACACTGGCCCAAACTCTTTCCTGTTGTAAACATACTGACTTCACTGGATTTACATTAATGATGAAGCTGGCCCAAGCTTTATAAACTTTCTGTTTACAATTATAGAGTAATGTTTGACAGTTTCTTCTCACATAAAAAAAGGTAAAGGGGTATTAAACAGCCATAAATCATTTACTCTAAAGACTTCGGACACCATTTGATAGTCCTGTTTAGTGACATATAACTAAGTGCTGGAGACTGCTTTAAAACAACCTGCCATTATCCTGCATTGTGTCTAATTTGTCTTTTGTTTGTTCTTACCTGATATGCATCCAGCTGCTCTGGAGTGAAAATGGTTTGTTTATTGCCCATTTCTGTTTCTGAATCCTGATTCTTGTCCCATTGCTCTTTCCCCTTAAGTTACCTTTACAGGAAGGCTGAATATTGAGATATGAAAAGCTGCAACAATGAGGTTCAGACAGAGAGGAGGATCAGGTAACCACCTTCCCTGCTTCATGGATTTCAGAATCATAATAGGAGCATTTCATCAAATCTTTAGTCTGAATACATAAGACTCTCATACAGCATTATTCACCTGCTTCCTGTGTGCTCTGCAGAGACTCATATTACAGCATTTAACAAACAACTAACACAATTTCTATCCCTTGTCTCTGAACTAGATAGGGGACTGTGTGGATTTTAGTTTTATGTTTCTAGCAAGTAAATTCACATACCTAATGACTGCTAGGAACTCTCTTTCTTCCTTCAACATTCAGCAACTCACTCTAAAAAAGAATCACAGTGAGTATGGTCCTGAGTCCTTTTCTTGATGTTCATTATAATACACATTCTGCACCATATGCTAATATTATACTGTATTTTGACTGTGTACAGCAGCAATACTATACTCAATCTCTCTCTTTTTTTTTTTTTTTTTTTTTTTTATATCCATCCCGTGCCAATGTTGGCACACAATGCAGAAACCATTCCTCTGTCATTTACTGCTGCTTCCTTCCATTTGCTCTATGGTATTGAGATTGACTATTCTGCCCTCATTGCTAAGGTTTCTCTTATGTGTCCTCATTTCTCACACCAGTTGGTTTCCAGTTGACACCTTCATGTGTTAGTCTGTGTTGGATTCAAGTCTGAATCTGGATTACATGACCCAAAAATGCCAAGTGCCCGCTTCTGATTCTAGTGGAAATGACTGACATCTCTACATAATTAGTGTCTTTCAATTGAGGTATTGCCAACCTCAAGCATTCAACAGTCATGAGTCAGGCCCAAAAATCATGAGATTTTTTGGGGGGGGGAATGTTTGGCAGAGGCACTGGAACAATGTGTATAGTGGGGGCACTGAGAGCCACTGAACCAAACTGTAAACCCTGTATATAATGGAAACCACTTAAAGTCAGGGGGTGCTGCAGCACCCCCTGCACTCCTAGTTTCACCACCTATGAAGGTTTTATTTGCCTTTGGTTTCTGAGCCTTTAGGGTTCGTTTGCTTCATGTTTTCAAGCTTTTTTTCCTGCAACCATCAGGGCTAGAAACTTACTTAAAAATAATCAAAGCTGAGATTTTCACGTTACCTCCTGATTCCAACAGCTGGGGCTTTAAGAAAAACACCAAATACACTGCTCTACAGCCAAAATGCTTCTGAAATAAATGTAGTCAAACTTTACTAATTCTGGGTCACTGAGAACGAAAATGATGCTTAAAATTGTTGATTGGCTCTAGTTTTCAAGATAAGCTATTGGGTCAGTATATACGATCTTTGACTTGGGAATGGCGGAGGATAAGTGAGTTATAAAGGGAAGGGATCTCAATTTAAACCAGAAATGACTAAAATACATCTTTGACTGGATCTATGAATAAATCTATGACTGGGTTTGGACAGTACTTACTTTTTAGGCAAAACAATGAATGATGCAATCTGAAGCTGGTATTGCGTCACACATGATATGAATTGCATCATGTTATTCCTAGAAGTCATGGATGATGCAATCATAACGAAGCTTACATCACTCTGCTGAACAAATTGCCCTATATCAGCTCTAGAAATCATACAGTGTCGTGCTCTCTTATTTGTCAGTGTTTGATTTTGCAAAGGGACACATTTCTGTTTAGCCAAAGTGAGCAGAGATGCCTCGTACTTGTGTGAACAGTGCAGATAACTTCTGCTATGTTTGTGGTGAAGTGACTTTTGCATCACAAAAGCGCAGTATAACCACTATGGTTAAGAAAGCCTATCACCTTAATTTGGCTGCAAAATTGGAGATCAGGACAAGAGGTGAGCCCCACACATATGCTGCAACACTTGTGCAACAAATCTTCGCCAGTGGTTGAACAGGAAAAGGAAATCTATGCCTTTTGCAGTGCCAATGATTTGGAGAGAGCCAACAGATCATACCAGCAATTGTTACTTCTGCATGGTGCCTCCAGTTGGGAAAGGTGTGTCAAAGAAGAAAAAGTAGACTGTGCATTTTCCAAACATTCCATCAGCTATACACCCAGTACCCCACGGAGAAGGACTGCCGGTTCCTGATGCACCAGAATCATTCTCACTTGAGTCAGACGAGGAAGAGGATGAAACTTCTGGTCCTGAACCATCAATGTCACAGGACCCACATTTTCTCCCATCCTCCTCCTCTGAACCACACCTCATAACACAAGGTGAACTGAATGACCTTGTCGGGGATTTGGAACTACCCAAGAGTAAGGCAGAGCTGTTGGGCTCCAGACTACAGCAGTGGAATCTCCTGGCAGGTGATGTTAGGGTTTCCATGTTCCGTGACCGTCAAAATGATCTTGTCCCATTCTTCTTCATGGAAGGGGATCTTGTAGCCTGCAAAAACATCGATGGTGTGATGTCAGCCCTCAACATTGTTCACGATACAGATGAGTGGAGACTGTTCATTGATTCATCGAAGACGAGTCTTAAAACTGTTTTACTGCATAATGGCAATGTTTTGCCATCAATTCCAGTTGGTCATGCAGTCCGTATGAAGGAAACCTATGACAACAGGAAACAACTTTTGAGGTGCATAAACTATGACCAACATCAGTGGCAGCTTTGTGGCCATTTGAAGGTTGTTGCTCTCTTGCTTGGTCTGCAGACTGGATACACAAAGTACTGCTGTTTTCTCTGCGAATGGGATAGTCGTGCAAGAGATTCCCACTACATCAAGAAAGACTGGCCACTCCGAGTCATTGAAGCCTGGGAGGAAAAGTGTTCAGCATCCACCACTTGTTGAATCAAGGAAGATTTTGTTACCACCCTTACACATCAAGCTGGGTCTGATGAAGAACTTTATCAAGGCCATTGACAAAACACAAGCAGCTTTCAAGTACCTCCGTGGAAAATTTCCAAGGTTAAGTGAAGCTAAAATAAAGGAAGGTGTCTTTGTTGGTCCTCAGATTCGTGAACTTCTTCGAGATGATGCATTTGACCATGCACTGCGTGGCAAGGAAAAGACGGCATGGAAAGCCTTCCAGTTAGTGGCAATAAATTTTCTCGGAAACAACAAGGCAGACAACTACAGGTTGTTGGTGGAAAACCTCCTCAAGGCATACAAAAGCCTTGGTTGCAACATGTCACTAAAGATACATTTTTTTGCACTCTCATCTAGATTTTTTTCCACTGAACTGCGGAGCAGTGAGCGACGAGCACGGCGAGCGATTTCACCAGGACATTGCAACAATGGAGAAACGCTAACAGGGCAAATGGAGCCCATCAATGCTTGCAGACTATTGCTGGACAGTGACAAGAGATGCTCCATTGAATGAATACAAGAGACAAGCCAAGAAGCGCCGAGTAGACACTGAATAGGACTGAACTATGTACATAATAGTTTTTTGCCTTTTGTTTCATAATAAATTTTATTTATATAACCCTTTTGCTGATTTTTAAAGTGTTACATAAACAGGACAGGTGAAATATTATCATGTAAAGCAACCATAAACACATGAAAAGACCTAGGTTTACAATTTATGATTAAAACTCTACTATCTACACAGTATACATAGACATAAAATGTAAAAACTTAAATATCTTAGAAACAGTAGCCAATCAGTTGTTTTAATTGTCATAGTTGAATTCAGCACATCAAAATACCTAATAAATAGCACATTTTATCTCTGAAGCAGACGACTTCTCAACAATTGTAGACCAGTGATGATATGAAACTTGCAATAAAATTGTGAGAGGTGACAACTGTCAGGACAAAATGAAAAGATGGCGCTTTAGTTTCTGCTTGGCTCTAACAGACAAACAAAATGAGGACCAGGAAAGCCAAGGCAGCCAGTATGTTACAGTGTCAAAGCCGAATGATTTCAATGGTAGAACAGCCCTGCGTTGGTAAGGAGACAACAGTGATTTTAAACCAGAAGAAACGGATCCTCTCCACCAGCGCCCTAGCTCTCAACGCTCCCTCCCGCGCTATGCTGTTGTGTTGGCGCCAGCCCGCGGGGGTCGCAGTCCGAGCGCCTTCCCCTTTCCCCAGCCGGGCTCAGTGAGGCCAGGCTCCAGAGGGGACGCCAGGGAGGTGTTGGTTTTCCCTCCTTCGTGCACTACAGAAAGCTCCGTTTGGGGTGAGGTTTTTCCCGGGGCCGGGGAGGTGTTGTGATGGTCACGGCGCTTACAGTGGAAAAGCTTCCCGTGCACTACACAACACTGCTCCTGTCATCCCGGGGAGAGGCCCCGTCCCTCTCACGGGGCTGCTGACCGCCAAACAAGAGCCCTCACGCCCGGCTCGGCCCCCGGATCCCAAGCGCTGCCCGGCTCACTGGGCGGGCGGGGTCAGCCCCAGCGCATTGCCGTGAGGGAAGAGGCGGGGGCTGTGCACTGTGCGACTCACGGGCAGGAGACCTAGCTCCGCCCTTAAGCCGTTGCCCCGCCCACCCGGCCCCGTTCCGCGCTGTGTAACCCGGAAGCGCTCGTGCGCCTGGCCTAGGCCCTGGCGCGGGATGGCGGATTATGAGAGTGTCCAGCGCGCGCCGCTGCGGCTGAAGGGGAGCGGTGCGGCCCCGGCGCTTGGGAAGCGGTGAGCTGCTCGGGTTTGTCAGTGGG